GTTCCTATGGTGGGAAGATAAACCTCTGGATTTCAGAATACAAAACTGCTATTAAAGCAAAGCATGCTGCATATATAGCACCCCACAGCACTTAAAGCACTCTCTGGGTGGTTTACAAGTTAATTATGCAGGCTACACATTGCCCCCCCCCAGCAAGCTGGGTACTCATTTTACCTCGGAAGGATAGAAGGCTGAGTGAACCCTGAACTGGCTACCTGGGACTGAACCCGGAGTCATGAGAGCACAGTTTTGGCTGCAGTGCAGTAGTTACATGAGAGCACAGTTTTGGCTGCAGTCCAGTAGTTTAATCACTGCGCCACGAGTCTGGGATGGTTTAAAACTACATGCTGCCAGAATGGGAGCTGAATTAAAGGCGCTGCTGAATAGAACAATCCTGGCTGCTCCGCTTGCCTGTTTCCCAAGGATCAAGAAATCCTTTACCCCACATTCATCGCTCTTAAGAAAGGAAAAAGAACAACCTCAAATTGCTTTTTCAGATTGCTGAGAAATAATAGACAGCAAATAAAAAGAAACCCCCCCCCAAAAAAACACCGGAAACCCTAAACTTCCCCTTACAAGACCAAGATTGTTCTGCTGCTTTCAAAGGGAAGACATTTCCGGCCTCTAATCTAATTAGTCAAACTTCCTCTTCTGTCCTGCAATTCCTATACCCACACACCTCAGGAGCTAAGAACCCAACAAGCCTTTTAAGATTGTTTCCCTTCCCCTCTTCAGTGTTTTCTTTACAGAACAGGCCAAACAAAAGCAGGACCCAACTCTCAACATGGGGGCAAAGGGCTTCCGAGACAAGGTAAAACAGCTCCTCCTATCAACACGTCAAGACCCCACTATCTGTCCCTCAGACATGGAGACTCAAAGTAACTCGAGAAAGCTCAAATCAGCAGATGGGGCAACCGTGGGTTTTTTTCCACCCAGTGGAATTAACTTCCTGGTGATTCAATCACATCCCAGATTGTAAAAGACACGTGGGAGACAACATGTGCCACCAAAGATGATACTTATGCCCTGCTTTGCATCACAGGGAATCAGGATCCCACCCATCACACCTGTGGGTGTGCTGCTGTGCCTTTTAACAAAGCAGCATTACACACCGAGACGTTCAGAAAGCAGGGTTTTCTCCAGCTCATATCCTCATACCAGAGAAAAGCCTCCCTTGTTTATAACTTCTGCACATCAAGTTTTTGTTGTTTGAAAGGCAGAAGAGCAGTTCTAGTATGGAAAATTAAACCACCAAACCTCTGCCATCTCTCTTAACTAGGGGTGGCCAAAGAAAAATTCGGGAGCCATGTGCAATTCCCCACAGCTTCCCCCCCCCTCCATGTTCTCCTGTTGAAAATAAATCCTTTTAAAAAGTCACTTGATGCTTCTCAGTGTCTCCGGGAGTGGTACTTATGCAACAAAATGCATAAGTAGATGTTTGTATTTTTAGTGGGGGACCCTCCGGGAGTGGTACTTAAGCAACAAAATGCATAAGTATGCACTTTATTGCATACACCCACCCCCAGAAAATCCCAGGTCCACAAAATGGAGGTGGACTTTCATCCACCTTTTGTTTGGGTTTTTCACAGTTTATTTTGCTCAGTCCCAGGCTGGTCCTCTCCCCACAACCCATCCCACCCCATGAGTCCTGAGAGTATTCAACTGGCTCTCTGAAGTTGCCCACCCCCACAACTAAATATAACAAATATTTAAAATAACACCGCCACCAGCAGCAGTCCCCAGTGGCTTTAAGATGCAGCCAGCAGAAGGGTTGGGCGAGCACAAGACAAAGCCTCAGATTCAATGAGTTTGCTGTGCACGATCCTTCAAGTGGTTGTCAGCTACATCTGAAGAGGAGTTCCACAAACACACACCACTGTCACCTTTAGACATACACAGGGATGTGCACCCCCACACTACATTCCACTGTATCTGCCTCCTGACTTGTCTCCAATTTCCTGCATTTCTTTCTCCCCCCTCTCCATTTCTTGCAAGCCATCCACAGATGGGTGTTCCTTTATCAAGGAACTCTCAGTGAGTTGACTGTTTATTAAACTCGAATAGTGGTAGATCAGAGTTCCAGATAGAAGAAAAACAGATTGAACTGCAAGGTTAACTGCAGCCCAAAACACGTATTCCTGACATCCAATACTTGACAACAATTTACTCTGACACAGATGAACACACATGCCTGAATTATTCAAAATAAAGCACATTCACAATCAATTTTTAAAAAATCCTCAATGGCTGTTCGAAATACCTTGCTTCTTGAACAGAAGAAAACATGCTTTCCAGCCCCCCCAAAAAAAGTTTGCTGAGCTGTATATCATGTAAACAGATATTTTTAAATCAATTTTAAGCATGCCATATCCAAGTATTTCAATGTGTAACCATAACTTAATTAAGATGAGTGGTGATGATTATGCTCTTCCAAACCCAGTAAGAGGATCAAGCTCTAAGATCTGAACCAGAAGTCTGCCTAAGACATCTTGCTGCCTCGGGCCAGGAACAAAAGGATACACACCATCCTCTATGGCACACACAACAATTGGCAATTGAATTTTGGGTCCTCCACCACTCCTGAGAACAGCTAGCTGGTTTAAGGAGTGCAGGAGAGACGGTATGGGAAACACAGAGCTAGAGAAATCTAGAGGAATGGGAAGGGCTGTCAAAGCTGCCTCCCAAATCTGTGCCTGAAGTTATTCTTTCATTGAACCAACAGAAAGGCCAGCCTTAGTCTCAGTATCTTAGTTTTGAAGAGCCCACAGCTCCCTGTTAATCAGCATCCCTGCTGGCTCATGGTGGTACCCTGTAATGATGTTTTGATGAGGCAGCTTACCTTCCCTGAACCAACAGAAGGGCCAGCCTTAGTCTCAGTATCTTCTGCTGGCTCATGGTGGTACCCTGTGATGATGTTTTGATGAGGCAGCTTACCTTCCACAAAGCTGTTTTCTTCTCCTCTTGAGCCTCCAGCTTTCTCGCTTCATCCAGCACTTTTCTGAGAATATCCGTAGCTTCCTGGAGCTTAATCTGTGAAGGACGCAACACATCTACGGTAGGTTTGTTTGTGTGTGTGTTCCTTCCTTCCTTCCAGGACATTGCACTGCACTGAGGCCCAGAGTCTTACTCTGTGGTCTGTATGGCCCCTTCCAGCAAATAGTCTTACAAAGCTATAGTCTCAAGGAAGGTCTCTCTGGCTCTTCCATGTGGCTGCCCTCCTGCTCTTAGAGATGCAGGACAGACTCTCTGTCTATATATAAGGTTGTCTGTCTTTTTCCTTGAATGAATCATTTGTTTGAGGTGAGAAGCTTTACCACTCTGATCTTGATATGGCTAACATGGTTGGATTACTTACTGGCCAGAAGAAAACAACAACTTCCATCTGTCTGCTTCTGTGCCTTTAACAACAATGTGATGCACAGAAATCATCAGCTGCAACTTCTTTTTGATACAAGATATTATACAGTGGATCTAGGCATTGCATAGCTATAGCTGATGGGAGGCTTCTGCGTTATATCCCTCAATGAAAATAGTAATGGAGATGGTGATTTTTTTCCCCCTTGATAATTTTATAAAAATTATTGCTGTTATTCCCTAATACCTTTAAATCTAGGCATCTTCTGAAAGCTTGAATTGTTTACGTTGCCCTTTTACCTGGATGGGAAATGAAGAGAGGTACTATGAGGTGAGAAACACTGTTTTCTAAATCCCATCCTTTGTGGGGGACTAACTCTTGGTGCCACACATTTGATTCGGGGAAAGTGTTTCCTTGCAGAAAACTTTGAGCAGTACAGTAACATATTACAGCAGTGGTTCCCAACCTTAGGTAATCCAGATGTTCTTCAACTACAACTCCTAGGAATCCCAGCCAGCACAGCTAGTGGTGAAGGCTTCCAGGGGTTTTAATCCAAGAACATCTGGGGATGCAAAGTTGGTAAGCAGATAACTGTGGGTCATCTTGTCAAATGGAAAACCTGTCTCTTCAAGACCTAGAATTAAATAGCAGTTCCCTCTTGTTAGTAAGTGGGTGTGGTTTCTTTAAAGATCTAGAAGATGGATATTTAAAAGGAGAAGTTGGTTGTCTTTGGGTAGTGATTCTGCTTGGATATTTAAAAGGAGAGGTTGGTTGTCTTTGGGTAGTGATTCTGCTATGTTGTTACTTGCTTACTTATCTGACCGTTTTTAAAATGTTTTTTCCTCACTTAAGTGGTTCAGTAAAAACATACTTTCTATTTCCCAATCCTGAAAATAACCTGTTGTAACTAATTACCTTTGGGGCAATGCGTAGTATAATAAATGTATAGTTGCAAAGGTATTTTCTAGGAATATTACTGACACCTAATTTACTTAGCTTGATGAGTAACTGTAGTCACTTTCAAATGTTATTTTTATGGATCTCTTGGAGATATTTTGTGAGGAATATTTCAGGGTTTTTTTGGTATTGTTTTACCAATCGAAGTAGTAAGGGAAGTATTTTTTGGTTTTGTATTTAGTTTTTTGGTATTTACCAATCGAAGTGGTAAGGGAAGTATTTTTTGGTTTTGTATTTTTTTTCTAAATATTTTAAAGGGATATTTGTTTTTCATTTTTGTTTTTTGTTTGTTTTTTGTTGTTGTTTTTTTGGCCTTTTGATAGCAACACGATAACATGCTCATAATGCACAATCAACTATTTAGCCGGACAATCTCAATATAAAAGTTTTTCACCCTCTCAGGAGAGTAAATCTTTTTATAGATTCATGTATTGATATAATACCTGTTTGTGATTTTGGCATTCAGAAAGCTTAGGAGTGCGAGAAGGAATAATGCTAACAATATTATGGCAGGAAAACAAGAAAAACCTCCTTATCTGACACTATAAAGCCACTGTTTGATTTTCAAACATGATGAACTTTTCAATACTTTCGCAGGATTTTTTCCCCCTTTTCAGCTCTGGGATGAGGAGAGGGAGCCGGGAACCACACAAGTTCACTTTTTTTCTTACTTTCTGAAGAAACAGCAAGTATTAACATGTCAGACAGCAATTTAGAAACACAAAGCTTTGATATGAAAAGTTGGCATGCTTACCTGAATCACTCTATTGCAATCCCTAGAAAAATATATAGTATGGTAGGACTCCCATCTCTGCGGGGGGATTGGTCCCAAGCCCCCCACCCCATGGATGCTGAAGAATGCAGATTATAGTGAACACTATACATCAGGAATCCCCAACCCCCAGTCCGCAGCCCGGTGGCGGTCCATGGGCTTCCTTGAACTGGCCTGCGAACATGGATCTCCGGCTGCATGCATGGTGGGCGTGTTGCACTCATGACGGACACGGATCTCCGGCATCCGGCACGCACGCATGGTGGGCGTGTTGCACTCATGCACATGCGCGCAAGCATGACACAGCCCTCCGCAAAGTGCAACACACCCACCTGCAAGCGTGACATGCCTACCAACGAGTGAGGAGTGCCCCCACCCACACCAACTGGTCCGGAGTCTGAAAAAGGTTGGGGACCCCTGCTATACATAGCATGGTCTACTCCTACTGGCCAGTTCTGGTGATGACATCATAGAAATACTGTATAGTTATACAATCTACAGCAAACACTTTGCATGATCTCTGGCTCCCTCTGGTGGCCGGTTCTGGTACCTTCACCTTTAGAAATATATATTCCTAGGGTTTTTCTTTTAATATTTTCAGACTGTTGATAAAGGAATAAGTGGATACTGATCCTGTACCGAACTTTTCTTCCAGCTCAGTTCCACTACATTTAACAGCAGGTGGCATGCAGGAATTAAAGAAGTGATTCGTTTACCATATTCTTTATTTCCCTATCAGGAAAACTTCCTCTGCATCATTTCTTCATGCAAAGTTGTTTTTAAAGGTACAGAAAAAAGAATGCTAGTAAGCTTCCAAAGGCGAATCACCTCATTTCAAACTACAGTGATTCACGGAAATTGCTCAACAGCTGGACAAACAAAAATGTTGAAGTTAAGTGTGTGGATTTCTAGTCATAAAACAATATTTATGGATGGCTTTGTTTTTAAAATATTGTATCCATAGAAACATCTGCTTTCTCATTCAGAGCATGCTCTGTTTTTAGAGTTCTTCTTTTAACGTTGAATGGCTTATTTACTAAACTGAACAGTCGTTTAAACTTAGGGGCAACCAAAATGTCTATGCTTTTGACTTTACAATATATTTTCCTCAAGTTGAATGTGAAACTTAAAGGGGAGGGACTTTTCTTGGTGTTGTGCTTGAAACCTTAGCTAGTGCAATTTGGAAAAGTGATGAGGGGGAATCAAAATTAGGAACTGTATTTAAAAGCTTCTGGCAAGGCTCAAGGTATGGAGAGGCCATAGAGTTACAAGCCCAACTCACCTCTTTTGACATCCCTTTTAGCTACCATCTTCAGAAAATTTGGGTCGGCAGAGAGTTTTACAGCTGGTATGGGGGGAATCAGAAGGAGGCTCATGGAACTCATGAGCCCCCTCTGATTCCCACCCCCCATAGGTAAAGGTAAAGGTTCCCCTTGACAAATTTTGTCCAGTCATGTTTGACTCTAGGGGGCAGTGCTCATCCCCGTTTCCAAGCCATAGAGCCAGCGTTTTGTCAGAAGACAATCTTCCGTGGTCACATGGCCAGGGCGACTTAGACACAGAACGCTGTTACCTTCCCACTGAAGTGGTCCCTATTTATCTACTTGCATTTGCATGCTTTCGAACCGCTAGGTTGGTGGGAGCTGGGACAAGCGACGGGAGCTCCCTCCGTCACGTGGATTTGATCTTACGACTGCTGGTCTTCTGACCCTGCAGCATACAAAGGCTTCTGCGGTTTAGCCCACAGCGCCACCACGTCCCTACCACAGCGCCACCCCCCCATACCAGCTATATAAGGGTCTACTACCACACCTTAAAGTAACTGAATTGGCCACATTCCTTTTGAAAATAAAGCAAACATCAGAGGTTATCTGAGGAGATTCTGAGTGTAGAGGTGGGCTTTTTGCTTCCACCACATATGTTTCGAAAAGCAGCACAACACTCTCCAGATAATATTATTTAAAACAGTCTTTTTTAAAAAATGCACACATTTGAAAGGAATATGGGAGTTATCCACAGAATTATCTGTAGAATTTTGAGAGGAGCAAAAAACAAAACAAAGCAAAGCAAAAAATAAACCTTACCAATATGTTATTGTCAGTAAAATGTGGTTTAGCAAGTTGCCTCGCAATATTAGTGATATAGAAATTGGGAAGCTAAGTGGTGACGGAAGGCCATCAGGAACCCCACCCAAGCAGCTCTGAGACCATGTTTTAAAATAAAGAGAGTAGGGTTATGATAAACAATTAAGTTGTGTTAATTTAGACTGGAAGAAAAATGCTTAGAAAGATGGAAAAGGGAAATGTAAGAGCTTTCCTAAATTGCACTTCCCTTTTGATATGTGTATCAGACACCCTTGAATATTCATGGTGTATGTCAGGGATGGAGGACTGGTAGTTTACAGATGTTTTTGTTCTTCAGCTCCCGTGATCCTTTACCCTTGGCTGGGCTGCTCGGGATTGATGAGAATTGGGGGCAGGGGGAACCTAGAAGGCCACGGTTGCCTGCCCAGATACACATGGACAACAACATGCAGGAGACACACAAACAAACAAGCATGGATTCCCACAGTCACTCCCCTGCAGCATACGAACCCAGACACTCCTCCTCACCTTGTAGTCATGAGCAGCCTCCTCGATGGGCAGGACTGTGTGGGCACGATGCTCTCGCGATTTGTCACACACCAGACAGATGGGCTCACCATCATCTTGGCAGAAGAGACGCAGCTTCTTGCCGTGCTTCTCGCATAAAGCCTCGCCCCTGGTGGCCCTGCCGGGCCGCAGAGCCAATTGCTCTATGCCTTCCACGATATTGGCCAGTTGCTTGTTGGGCCTTGAGCTGCTGAGCAAGAAACCAGCCCGGCACTGCGGGCAGAGAGCCGCCCCCGTTGTAGAGCCAGATCCTCGCTCACAGTAGTCCACAATGCAAGCGTGGCAGAAGTTGTGGCCGCAGTCTATCGTCACAGGCTCCCTGAGGTACTCCAGGCAGATAGAGCAGGAGACTTCGTCCTGGAGCTTCTCCATCGTGTCATCCACGGAGGAGGCCATGTCTGCCACAGGCTTGTTCTGTCCTTCTGACAAAGTGGACAAACACTCTTCTTCCGGAGGAGAAACCACAACATTCTGCCACAGAGGGAGTGGCTAGAGCTGGGAGGGAGTTCTGGGTGAGGATTTCCTCCTTGGAACCCCTCCATGGGCTTCAGTGTGCAGGCAGTTTCTCTTCCAGACCAATACCACAGACAAAGAGGCAAGCTTCTCTCTAGCAAGGAAACCGTCTCGAAAAGGAACAGAGGAAGAACCAGGAACACAGCCAAGTGACGAGGTCATCACTGTGGGCTTGCCTGGTAAACAAAGCAAACTCATTCCGTGGGGCACAGCAAACAGAGCTTAACTTCTCATGCTTCATATACTCTTGCACATCTATTTCTGGTGTGTTGTGTCTGTAGTGCTTCTAGACATCATGTTGCAATTCTGCTGGTGTTATTGTCCCCCTGTTAATCACCTGAACCCAGTGCCAGCCTGTTCTCTCATCCAGGGAGAGCTTTGGTTACACTCTCTCTACCCGATTGCTATACATGCCACACTGTAGAAAGCACGAGAGAATAGAAAACACTTTCCCTCTCCTGCCAGGTTTGAATTGTATTCATAGTCACAAAAATGTGTACAGCACGAGGCCAGGTTTTTCCTCACTCTAGGCAATGGGATAGTCAGATGTAGGCAAAGACAAGCTATGTATGTTACTGACAGCTCTCTATTAGGATTGAAAATCTATTGGTTTTCCTCAGATGCACTAGTGACAGACCTTCATGTTGGGAAAATCAACCATCCTTGCAAATGAAGTTTCTACCTGCCTGCCTCTCAGTCACAACACAGAGCTGGCTAATTTGACAACTGAAGGGGGTAAGCACATGCTGTGAAAATAGATATGCACAGTGCTTAAGGAGTTCTTTCTTCTAAGGACTGTTATTGGTAATGTACATAGTCTGAACAGCAAATTCATTACTGTGTGTAGTGTATGAATAGGACCGTAGCTAAAACAGGGTCCCTGAAAAGCCAAAGAACTCCTCAGTAGACTCATGGAAACAGCAAGAGTTGCAGATAGAAAGACAGACAGACAAACAGATGTATATGTATGTATTTATTTAACTAAGAGGGACCTCCCCCCCTCCCCCAAAAAATCAATGAAGACTAAGCCCACTCAATAGTCAAAGAACAGAAGTAATAGAAGGGGTTGGGAATGGCATGGAAAGGCCTGCTTGGAGATGAATTATTGATGATGAGCCTTGATAAGGAGCACACCAAATTATTGTTGCAAGTCCCAGTTGTTGGTGTATAGTAGAGATGGGCACGAACTGAACTACGATCCAGGGGGGGGGGTCCCAAACTGGTCTGGTTTGCTGTTCAAGTTCATGGATCCCGTTTTCCCAAAACAAAACAAAGCACCAATTGTTTTTTCACGTCTGTTGCTTCATTTTGCTTCGGCCCACCACTCCTCCTGCTGCCTCCTACTCTTCCTCCTCTGCCACCATCATCTTCAGAGACAGCAGAAAGTGACATTGAGCCTCTGTCTCTGAAGGTGGCGGAAGAGGTGGAGGCAGCAGGAGCAGACAAGGGCGACCATGGGAGCAGGGGGTGTTCACCTCCACTACCCCCAAGGCACGAAGCCGAAAAATGAATTGCAAGCCAGTTCATTATTTCCAAGGTTTGTGGGTGGTTTGTGGTTCATCACAAACCACTCCAATTCATCATTTTTCTGGTTCGTGCCTATGTCTAGTCTATATTAGTAGCAATGTACACACAGAGAGAGGGGGGGTTCCTCCTAAAGCCTGTGCTATTCCCATCAAACTAGCCTGAAGGCTCTATCCTGTGAAAAATATTATTCCATTGAGAGATGGGGGAAAGAACACTTTCCTCAGGCGAAAGGGCCTAACATCTTCCAGACCAATGGCAGCTGCCATCTTCTCATCCAGAAATCCCCAGACTTACTCTGATCCTACTCAGTCGTCCTCTATGTTCAACAAATCCCTTCCTTGCCACTATTATTGTTGCTGCTGCTGTCTATCATCATCTCAAGGATCCCAGTCACCCATCCCTGATCTCGAGGCAACACTGTAGCCTTTTGCAAAGCCAGGTAAGTGGAGAGAATATTTTATTTGCTGAACTTTATGAAGTGTTCGGGTTTTTTTTTAAAGATACACTCCATGTGGCATTCAAACAAAATTAACTGTTTCAGGAAAGCTGTTTTGGAACAGAGTGTTCATTAGGCATTGAAAACCCAGAAGGGTCGTCCCATTTCAAGTATGTCCAGGGAGATCTAGAAAATGCTGTGCTGCACCAAGCACTGTCATGCCAAAGAGACTGTTCTGAAGGCCAAGCTAGTCAACACGGTTTCACATGGATCTCAAGGTGGTGCTTTCTCAAGAGGAGAAAGTTGCCTTTTAGTCGTAGCTATCATTTCCTTCAGTTTACATATCTTGCATTTAGTCATGCTCCCTTGCTGACTGGTCACTGGAAGGTTAAAAACAAGTTTGCTTGGCAAGTCTGATTGCTGAGGAATGCCTTTCTGAGGTAATTCTGTCACTGGAGGGGAAACATGTCAATCACAGAAGATACTATTTTTCATAATCCATTTGCCCATAAACTAGACATTGGACATCTTAATCACCACAAGAAGAGCATGGTACCTGAACAGGCAAGTAAGATGTCAGGTTATGCTTAAATAGCTCAATCCTGAGTTGTTTAATTAATAATGACATGCTGTCAAGTTGGTCCAAACTCGTAGCCTCCATGTTCATAGTTTTCTTGGTATGCTGTGCTCATTGCCCATTCCTTTCTTCTGAGAGCTCTCTAGAGCTGTGCCGCTCGCCCTAGGCTAGAGAGGTTGGGCTTCCTCTTGGGAAGCACAATGGGAAAATGGACGCCTGAGTTCTGGCTCCACAGCCATCTACTCAAACTCACTGAGCTTTGAGTTTCCTCAGGCTGCAAAATTTGAAACTGCTCCCATAATACCTGGCTATACACAGGATCAGACGCTTCACTTGGTATTGTGCTAAGTATAGTATCAATGTTGCTCCAGTGCTGGATGATTTTGTCTTCAAATTGCTGAGCAAAAGAAAAGCAGCAAGTGTCTTAAAGAACTGGAGTTCCCTTTCCCAAGGCTGACATCAACAGTTCTCGGACCCACTTTAGAAGATGCCATCCTCTCTGCTCCCATCACCACGTAGTAGGCATGGTAATAGAATCATAGGATAATTGACTTGAAGGGGCCTATACTGCCATCGAGACCAACCCCCACCCCACCCCGCTCAGTGCACGAATCCAGATCAAAGCAGATCTAACCAATGGATGTCCCATATTTTTTCAAATGCCTGCAGCACTGGAGCACTCGCCCCCTTACTCGTATCGAACTCATATTTGGTCAACACTGCAAATCGGCCTTCAGCCTCTGTTCAAGCAGTTGTTGAGCCCATTTCTTTGTCCTCAAATCCCATTAAAAAAAGGAGAGCTGAACATCTTCCACAGCACCAGAAAGGGAACTCCCAAGTGATTGTGCTGGTGGCCTATTTCATATCACCATTTCTAAGTCAGACTTGGGATTGCCAGCTCTCTCTCTCTCTGCTGGAAACTGTCCAAGCGCATGCAGGGATTGATGAGATTTCATCTCTCTCTCTCTCTCTCTGTGGATGAACCATTCACTTTTTCTCTCTCAGACACACACCCCGCAGAAGATTAAAGTGATTAAATCCAACCTTTACCAGGAAGTGCTCTGCCCCTTGTTACGTCAAACTTCTTTCTATTTTCATACATGTCTCTCCACTCGGGGTAAAGACTTAACAGAGATTATCTGCTGCTACAGGTACTGGATCAAGCAGAACTGGAAACATCCTTGCTACCATGTGAGCTCCTTGAGAAGTTTCCTAGCCAACACAACAGGGTAGTAGTGTGTCACTGCATCTTTGCAGTTGGACACATGGCCTCAACTGCAACAAGGGACTCGTATACCCACTCTCTCATTACCACCTTTTACATTATCCTTATGATAGCCTGCACTGGCTGGTAGTCCAAGTAGTGTTTCTACCCATGAATGGTTGCTCATGCCTCCCACTCAGGAGCCATCAGCTCACAGTTTCTCACTTGACGGACCAGGACAAGTTGATGAATGCAGATCTACATATACATTCCTATCCACCTGCCTTTATCGAACCATCTGGTGGAAACAGACCACTGTCTTTTTGATGTTTAAGTAATGGATATCTCGGACTCCCCGCCCCACTCTTCTTGAAAGCAGCGATGTGCTGCTAATGGGGCTATAATTAATTAATGGGAAATAAGATGTTAGGAAGGTGGGAAGGTGTGATGGCAAGAGGAGAAGGGGACGACCGAGGATGAGATGGCTGGACAGTGTCTGCGAAGCAACCAACATGAACCTGACACAACTCTGGGAGGCAGTAGAAGACAGAAGGGCCTGGCGTGCTCTGGTCCATGGGGTCACGAAGAGTCGGACACGACTAAACGACTAAACACACACAAGACATAACAGATGATTTGTATGAAAAATAAGAGAAACTTTCCCCATGGGGAAATGTGACAATGAACATATGCTGTGCACCATCAACATTCATGTATCCTCTTTAATCTTGGACCACAGAAAACCAAGAATTCTTCCAAAAGCTTCCAAACATATTCCAAGTAAATGCAAGGATAATTCACCTATTGCTAATTACCTTGTCTCATCCAAAGCAGCGCCCTATGATTTAGTTCATGCTCTTAAGATGAAGCTCTACAGCAACCCAACATATCCATAAGCGGTGGATAATGATCCTACTCCCAGTAGAGCTTAGATGCAAAATATGTAGGAAGACAGCAGCATATGAATAGCTGTGGAACAAAATGAGAAGCCCAGGACATAGTGCAAACCAGTTGGGTGGTGCGGCATTTTCCATTAAGCTATTTCCATAAGCTTCAGATGGCACTTTGATAGGAAGAATATGACGGTCATCGTAAAACAGCATGCTGCCCCCCCAATGATATCGGCTACTCTTGGAAAGAAACAAAACTGCTAGATAGCTCAGTGGTTGAGGTCTCTGGCTGAGGAGCCAGAGGTTGGGAGTTTGATTCCCACACTGTGCCTCCTTGATGAGGGCTGGACTCAGTGATCCATAGGGTCCCTTTCAGCTCTGCAAATCTAAGATTATTATTCTAAGAAGGCAACCCCCCCCCAAAAAAACCACCTTGACTTGAATGACAGCTGGACAGCATCCAGCAGAAAGTTAGCAGGAAACACTCTTCCTCTTAACACAGCTGGTGAAACTAAGATTTAAGACCCAGATGCTGGGCGAGGCTGAATCTCACTACCACTAGGGAAAGGGTGAGAATTTTGCTCAAATTGTTTCTTTGGTAAGAACTTACACAATTCCAGGAACATGGAAAGCACCTCAAGTTTTTGTTTTCATGTTTTTTTAAACTGAATGTCAGAGAAAAAATTGATGGATTAATGGAGGTAATCAGAAGGTTTGGACTGCTTAAATCTCCAGACTATAGATGGAGACGAATATAAAAACGAATCAGTTTTTCTGACGAATATAGCCAATTCATCATATATTTGTATATCTGTACTAGTAAAATTTTAAATCTGGACGAATATGGCTTGACGAATATTTTCTCGGTTTTATTCGTCAATCCGTTTATATTCGTCTATATTCGTTACCCCTTTTGGGGGGGCCTCTCTGAGCTTGCTGGCGCCAATTCGAAGCTCTGGTGAATCAGGACAGAGATCCTGGATCGGCATGTCCGGCAGCCAATAGCGCTGCTGAAAGGCGTATCTACTTTTACAGACGCGTCATATAAGTTTTTCCCTTCTGTTCGTTCTTCACTTCTGTTCATGTTCTCTGGAGTGAGAACAGTTGCTGCTCGCTGGCTTGCTGGTGCTCTTGTGGTTTCAATTTTGCGGCAGCAAAGCAGACTTACATTTTTCTTTTTCATCATCACCATCATTCATCAATCATCAGCAACTTTACTGGGAATTTGGGGAGGGATTTCAGGTAGCCTTGGCTACTTCTTCAGAAGGGCTTAATTTTATTTCAAATTTGTATATCATTTGTGGGTGGGGGGGACTGTTGTTGTGTGACTGTAGGATCTCTTTTCCTTTATATTCAGTTTTCAAAAGTTCATTTTAGATAGGCTTCTGTCTCTCAGGGAATTTGGTGGGTGGCTGGATCCATCATTCCTTTTTCTTCCAGGTACTTATTTATGTATTTCATGATTCCAGCCTTCTTGGGCTTTATTCCAGTTATTCATGCCTGTTCATTCTGGTCTCCTAGTCTTCTCTACTGCTTCAGAAGGCTGGCAGAAGCTGGGTGAAAAGCAACAGGACATAGCTCACCCTGTTGCACGGAGTCAAACTGCAGTGCTGATCTTCTAATGGACAAGCTGAGTGGTTCAGCAGTTTAACACGCAGTGCCACAGTCTATGTTGATGCTATGTGCAACCTGTTCAGGCATCCCCCCCACCTCACAGGGCATCATTTCCAGCCTCCTTGGGCCATGTTGACCCCAAATCCTGCATCCCTCTCCAGCTGCCTTGGGCTTGCCTGCTGATTTGGTGCCAAAAATTGGGCCAAGGGCCTTCGAAATCTTAACTGCTGGGTGAAGTTGGCTCATCAGGCCAAGTTCTTTCCTGCCAGCTTATTCAAAGGCTACATTAGTGCTCCAAAGTCGGGCTTCATTCCTAATTCCTGGCTGTTCATTCCAGCTTACTACTGCCTCTGGTAGGCAGAACCTGGAACAAACTATGAGAGCTCAGCATGGATTTGATCTTCCACTCAAAAAGCCCTGCAGCCCTGTAGATTAACCACCATTACGTTAGAAGCACCACCTGATTCATCTACTGTTACTGCTGCAGTTGTGCAACCTCAGTTGCCTCCTGGGGGCAAACTGGACTACCTTTGCACTGAAGAAGTCTTCTTTTCTTTTGCTTCCTTCCTTTTGCTTCTGCTTCTTCCTTTTTCCTTTGCCCCCTCAAGCCTGTCCGGGCATTCCCATGCCAAGAGGGCCAGGCTTTGCCTCACCCAATGACTGTTCAGCCATCCCATACCAACATAGTGCTCCAAAGTCCGCAGACCTTCCTATCAACAAGCCTAGTGGCTCAGCAGCAGTTTAACTCAGTAGGTATGTAGAAGCAGGAACAAGGGACAAGAGTTCAGGTCACCCCATTGCATGAATTCAAACTGCTGATCTTCCGCTCGAGAAGCCCAACAGCCACCCTGATTAACCGCTGTTAGTAGCACCTTGCAGTCAGACCCTATTCTCCTGCTGTTGCTGCTGCTTTGACAACCTCAGTTGCCTCCTGGGGACAACCTTAAGTAACTTTTCAGGCAAAAATGATGTTGCAGAAGAAGAAAACCAGAGTCTCCTGTGGCTGCCTTTTGTCTCAGTGCCCCAATGGGGCCAAAAAGCCTGCTTTCCTGCTGCCTTTTCCCTCAGTGCCCTGGCTTCAGATGGCAGAACTTGTCTGGTTTTCAACACAAGCATCTTTCTTTGAAGGTGGACAGCAAGTCTAGTTAGACATGGATGGATAGGTGAGTCTCCTAAGTGTCCAGGCATCCCTCATGCCAAAGAGGGCCTGTCTCAGCCCCACCCAAAGCCTATCCAGGCATCATCCCATTGCCCGGCTTCAGACGGCAGAGCTCATCTGGTTTTCAACCCATGCCAAGGGGATCGGCCTGTCTAAGCCCCCCAAAACCTTCGAGGGTTATCTTTATCATATCCAGGCAGTCTCAGCAGCCAAGTTGCAATCCCCAGCTTTCTAGTTCTAAATGAGCATCTTTGTCGCCCCATCGCCCGGCTTCAGATTGCAGAGCTGATCTGTTTTCGACAGCCTGTTTTCCTGCTGTCAACTTCCTCAGTGCCTGATGGGGCAACACACTCTACTTTGCTGCTGCCAACTTACCTCAGTGCCCCAATGGGGCCAAAAAAGCCTGTTTTCCTGCTGCCAACTTCCTCAGTGCCCAACGGAGCCAAAAAGCCTGCTGTGCTGCCAAATACCTCCTTGCCTCCAGTCCTCCTGAGGGCAAACTCTCCTTCACTGGCAAATGTAATGTTGTGCTGAGCTGAGGACAAACTCGATGCCTCATGCATGCCTCTGCCAAAGGGACCTCTCGTTCTGCTGGGGCTAAATATAACTCCCTCAATGCCATGGGCTTCTATGCCGTGTGGTAAACTCTCCTGGGGGGACCCAATTTGTGGGTGGATAACTCAGAGTTCCAATATCCAATCTTCACCAAAGTTGGTGGACTTGTTGGGAAAAGACATAGGAAGCTCTGTTGTGATTCTGGAGTCTCCAAGTAACTGAGGGGAGCTTTCCTGCAGGGGTCCTCTTTGTGACTATATAACCCAGGGGTCCATGATCCAATGTTCACCAATCTCTCAGGAGTTGTAGAAAGGCATCTGAGGAAGCTTCCCAGCAAATCTGGTGTCTCTAGATCATCGGGGGCCAGTGTTATATCCATTTAAACGGCAGACAAATCAACAGATTGGTCAAAGAATATTTGTATATTCATATTCGTTGATTTGTTAACCTTGACGAATAACAGATCAAAACTAATCACCATTGTTTTGATTTGTCCCCATCTCTACTCCAGACCTTTTGTTGAATCCATTGTAAGCTTGTGGTGCTGCTTATTGTTTTTATTCTTTTGACAAGCTTCTCATATTTAAAATGTTACACAGCAGGCAAGTGCACCAGGTCCTCTTCAGCTTGGGAACAGCTGTACCTCCTGAATTTATCCAATGCAGATGAATGAGAATTAAATCCAGTTTAGTTCTTTGATTTAAAAACAAAACAGAATGAAACCCTAAACTGAACTCAATTGTCAAGATGCACACATTTCCTCACAAAAAAATAAAGATGAAAAGAACTAGAAAAGTAGCACAATTTGCTTATTATCATTGCTCAATTCTTCACAAGGCACATAAGAAAGCATTTATCCTAACTTCTGTATCCTCTGGTTTTTGGTGGTGTGTGGGTAAACCACCACTGAATGATAACAGGAAAACAACTGGACTCTTAATGGGAAATCAATGCATCATTGCTGATACCTACATAGATGGAAGAGGGATAATATTTTAATCTACCTCTTTAACATTTTGTAAAGAAAAACATGTCAGGATATGAACTATAATACTGGACCAGAGAAAATTTTCTCCTTCAAACAATTTTCCTTAAGACTTACAATCCAGGGCATTGTTGTCTCTAAAGTGTGTAACCCTGTACAAAGTTTTCCTAATATACACACATTGCACACTTTTTAAAACTGGAAAAACTGCATCTCAAAAGTCAGAGTAACATGAAAAGTGAAGAGGAATTGCATTCTGGTTTTCCTTCTAGTTCCAAAAATATAATTTGATTCATATTAAAACTGAAAAATAAACATGTTTTCCTCCACTCCTCCTTATGGCCCAAACGTTTGCCCTGACTTTTTTAAATATATCCCTGTTTGTGCATGTGTGTGTGTGAGAGAGAAAGAGAGACAGCTGGCAGCTACTGAGAGCTGCAATGTTGGTCTTCCTGGTCTTCCCACCATTTCTCTCTGCTTGAGGAGACAAGAGAAAGAGGAGCACCACATTCTGGGGCCTTTCAGCACATGGGCCACTTCAGGTGTGGCCAAGAACTCAGCCCTGCCACCAGCCTTGATGTTGAGAGCCAAATATGCCAGTCCAGCTGGCTTCTGTACATGGTGGACAGAGGAGTCGCCCTCTTGGCCTTGACCTCAGGCAACCAAATGTCTTGAGCCAGTCCTGGGTGTAATTTCCGTTGCTTTGGTGGACCAACGTATTTTAGGAATGATGGCCCTAGGCACATGGTTTCCACACCGGACCTACAGCACTCTTCACCAGCAAGAACCAGGCTGTGTGAGGAGAGAAATCCTAATCAGGTAAGTTGCAGTCCACCAAACATACAAACACCAATCTTGCTCAGAAGTTTGGTTTTTTTAAAAAGAAAGAAAAAAATCCACATTCCTGTTGAACACTGATAAGAAGCAGGAGCTTTTGCTCCTACCATAAGGCAGCACCAACTGTTCCATAAGGCAGCCTGCAGTTCCCCACCAGAAACTCTGTAGGCTACAAAAGCATCAGCGTAGCAGCTGGCACATCCTTCCTCTGGCCGAGGCACAGATGGCACCTACTTTCCTGACTCCAGAATTAAGATCAAGGGTGCCAGGCAGAGGTTAAGAAACTCTCCTGTCAGCCTGGGATCCTTCCCCCCGCTGTCCAAATTTGAAGCGAGGGCTATCCCACCAGAAGGTGCCCCTCTTGATCATTCTTGCCCGGGGATAAGCAGTATATACATCTTGGGTCCAGGAGCCTGAACTCCTCATGGCATCAGGATTCAAGGTCTCGAGAGAGCCGCAAAAGCTCCTTCTGATTGTCGATCACTCTCAGGTGCTGGAGGTACACCCAGGTAGCAGCCGGGCTACGGGTACTGAGGGACTGCTCTGAGCCTGAAAAGGAAACAAGCTGATGTCAGGGAAAACATGAGGTTCCACAAGACATTCTGTGAAAAGTGGGGATGGATGAATAATCTGTCACTGTGCGCAAAAATTTGCAGTCTTATGCAAGTTTTTTTAAAATTACACACACACACACACACGCACACGCACACGCACACGCACACGCACATACACCTCTTCTTCCTTAAAAAGGACCCAAGGTGGCTCCTTACATCATTAAGAGACAATAAAGCCAAAAACAGTAAGTATAGAAACACTAAAAAGTATGAAGCAAATATCACTTTAAGAAATGGTGAACCAAAGCAATATTAAAAACACATTCAAAGCAATAAAGCACAGCCATCCGTTTAAAAATCCCACTCAGGCAGCCAGTCACTGAGGGAAAGCCTGAAGAGAAAGGTCTTTGCCTGCTTGCAGAAGGAGAGCAAAGATGGGCCCAGCCTGGCCTCCTGTGGGAGGGAGTTCCACAGTCTGGGAGTAGCGACAGAGAAAGGACCTCTCTTATGTCCCCACCAAGCGCACCTGTGAAGCGGTGCGGGACCAAGAGAAAGGCCTCACATGATGCAAAACAATCTATGTGATTAAAAAGCAAGCCCAAAACAAAACACATAGACATGTTGTTAGATATTATGATGGAAAAATGTAGTGGAGTAGGGTTTCTGAAGGGATAGGTTACCATAGCAATCACATAAAATCTTTAGAACTGAAAAAAGTTCTCATTGGGTGTACAAGTCCATTTCTGAGAGCAGCAAGGGGAGTCAGGATGTTGATTTCCCCTTGTACTTTCTTCTTAAAACTAAATATGAGAAGAGTAGTATGGTGCACTCCTTTGAGCATTTCCAGAAGGGACACAGCCTGCATATTAATAAAATATTGCTATTTCCCTAGAACGGTTCCTTATGTCCGAGGAAGTGGATTTGGCTACAAAAAGCTTACGCTAAAATATAGCAGGCAGTCTTTAAGGCGGCACAAAGTTTTTGGTTATTTTTAATATTATTTCATTTTTGACCAAAAAACAAAAACGGGGGGGGGGGGGGCGGACATAATGGGAAGAAATATGTACTGTATTTTTCCATGTATAAGACACTTCTTTTTCCTAAAATCATTAGACTAAAAATTGGGAGTCGTCTTATACACAGAAGTAAGCTGAGGAGAGAACAAAATGGCCCATACCTTGGCCTCTGCAAACAGGCTGCCTCCAATCACTGAGGCTTAGCTTCCTACAGTCAGGAGGTTTAGCTTCATCCAATCACGAGCCTTATGGAACTGACGTCAGCTGATGCTGAACAAGCCAACTGCAACAGTGCTCAGATGCAACAGGGACTCCTAATGCCCCAGCGCTCTGAGCCCAGAGGCCGAATAAAGTTAAAGTGTGGTGCACAATATGACAGTACAGGTATGTAAATTTTGCCTAATTGCTAAATAAAAATGTGTTCTATGTTTAAAATATTGATTTCTTAATTTTGGGTTAGAAACATGGGGGCGTCTTATACATGGGAAAATATGATAATTTCAACACAAAGAGAGACACCAAAAGCTGACTAGGTAAAGGAGTGGTCCATCATGTGATTTCTCAGCTAAGTAAGCTAGAAAAGTTATCAAAAGGCCGCAACTACGGAAAGAAAAGATCTTAAGGTTTTTTTTCCAGGGGGGCATTTGCTTACTAAAAGGCACCTGATCGGTCCTCAACGTACCTGGGTTTCTTTCTGCCATCCAGGCAAGTTAAGGTTTGTCTGGGTACGTCTGGTGGCAACATTTTCCAAGGCAAAATGTATCTCCCAACACACAAGGTTCCTCCTGCCCCTTTTCCTAGTTTGTTTAAGGGGGTGGAATTTAGTATTATGGCACTTTTCAGTTAATGTCTGAGGTCAACATCGATACAGAGACTTTCCATTATTTGGTGCCTTTTTTTTTAAAAAAAAGATACTAGTTGAATCCTGCCTGCTCTCAAACAAGGAGGGGGGGGGACAGTACTATGGCTAGTAAATCTCTGTTGAGTGACAAATCTGAGATCAGGTAGGGAGATCAAGGAAATGGAAGAGACAACCAGGAATTTAGCAAGAAGTCTTCTTCCTCCCTCTTCCTATTGCTTAAAGGAGGGGGGCGCTGTGAGGATTATAGCACTGCTCTGCTTGCCTCGCTCCTAAAGAAACAATTAGCACGACAGCCCTTCTCTATGTTGAAAAAAGCAGGCGCACGGAATGAATGATTATCTGCTTACATGTAGAGGTACGCATGGCCCGTGCTTCTTCCAGGAGGTGCTGAGGACGACTCCGCAAGGGGGAAAGTGGAACTGAAAGAGGGAAAAGGAAAAAAATGGTAAGTTATTCTACTACCAAATCTTCCCTTTTTTTACAACCAACATTCATTCTTCCAAATGCTTTCCACTGTTCCACCCCTTTGACCATAACCTGCCCGCCTACAGCCGGGTGTCTCACCGTAATAGGAGAACCCTTGAAAAGCTTGTTCCTTTCATTTCTCTTCCATTGGATCTTAGATGTGATCATGGCTATTCTGACTTTGCACACAGTAACTCTAAGTAAGGATGATGGGCTGCATTGGAACCAGTCACCCAGGTTTTTCTGCCCATCCCTCCATTTTCCTGCACATCTCATCCTATTTATTTTACCTTTGCAACAATCTGATTTATTTGCCATTACATCTAGGTTTTTCTGCCCATCCCTCCATTTTCTTGCACATCTCATCCTATTTATTTTAACTTTAAATGTCCTGTTGCAACAATCTGATTTATTTGCCATTACATGAGCAACATGTTTGAGCTTTTTTCATTGTGTGTGTTTCAACCTTTCCTGGATTTTTCATTCATATCCTTTTTATAGTAGTAACCCATGTTAAAACTGTCGAGTCCCTAGAATTGAAAATACACAGCACAACCCAATGCATCTTATCAAAGACAATTTTAAAGTTTTTACTGCAAAGTCAGTTTGTTCAAAAGGCACAAAACAAGAAACGTTTGAAGAAATGGTCCCTCCAGTTCTTCCTCTTTTCTGACCCAGATCAGTCCTGAAGTCGTAACTGCCATTAAATCCTCCCAAATATGCCTTTTAAAAATACCACTCCCTCTGTCCTGATCATCAGCAGTGGAGTGAGTTACAAACTGTAATACATGTTCAAAAGTATATAAAAGAAGCAGTCAGGCATAATGGCCTCTTCTGGAGGAAGTGGATGTTGTTACCTGCTGTACAACTACGGTTTCACCTCACTTTTACTGACACTTCTCTCCCACCCCTTCCAATTCTTCTGCACTTACGGTTGGGGTGACTCCGACAGCGATGCACGAGACGAACAGCCTTGGCGATCATGCGCTGTGTAAAGATATGGGTTTTAATTACATTTATTTGATCCCTCTCTGTTTTTCTCCCACATAATTCATTTGTGGACGAAAAAAAGGCCATCAAAGTCTGCACGACTGAAGGACCCTTGAGGCTTCTACAAACTTCTCAACATTTAAAGGGAACGTGTTTTCACCAACAGATAAAAATGGCAATGATCTCTAACAGATCATGATCTCTAGCTCTTTCCATGGAAAAGTTGCCCTGTTCTCCCTTCGCCACATCCCTTCGCTCACCAGCTTCTCAAAGTTGACAAGGTTCTCCATTGATGTGCAGTTGCCCTCATGGATGAAGGTCATGTCTGCAAAAGGAAGGAGAAATTATTCATTGATTATTATATGAAACCAATCAGGCTGGACTGAGACATTATGTCCCCTGAGGTTTTCTTTATTCAGATCAGAGTGCTGCACAATTTAAAATTATGGACATATATGAAATACAGATAAAGTTCAAACAAATTTAAAACGCTAACACATTAGACTGTTTTTGACCACAAGCGGCCTCCTTCAATAGTGTTATCTTGGCCATTAACTAGATCTTCTTCAGTACATGTGGTGGGCACAGAAACGCTACATTGCATGGTTCCCTGAGGCAAAAGGGAAGATGCCTTTCCCCCCCACCCCCATCATATGGCTCATTTGTTGACTGCAGTCCCCCAAAGCCAGACAATCAGATCAGTGATGGAATCTTTCTTCAGAGCAAGACTACCTTGCAGGGGGCAGTGAAAGGCAAGTTTCATGATGCACAACTTTCTTCCCCAACACATTCTGGCCCCTTCTTGGCACCTGTGGCTGGGGCAGGTCATCCATTCTGTCTTACAGTGGGGCAGCCAATGTGTCTAAAGTCTCTGTCCAAAAGAAACCTACAGGACCACAAGCCCTTGCTGGCCAGGGGCTGGTCATCTGGCATCAACACAACACTCCTTCAGTGGCTTAATAAGAAGCATGTTACCGTACCTTTAAGAAGGAGGGGCATAAAGGGGATCATTGGTGGGGCCAGTTTGGCCATGGCCAACCGGTAGACCCGATGATTCCAAGAAGGATCCTGGGAAGAAATGGAGATGAAGGGTTCTGGGTACAAATATCCAACTTTCGCACTAGATCAGCTTGTCACTACACTAATATACTAATTCAGTGCTAGATTACCTCTGCGTGGAGAGAAAAAAAAACAAGATAAAAATCAATAGGAAACAGAAACAACTCCAACAAACTGCAGTAGACTGCTATGTTTCTGCAGTATGTGCCAGTGTCTGTAGTATAACTGTGACTGGCAGACTTTCTCCATCTTATTTCTTGCATTTAACTTTTATTAAATTTCAATGATGTTAATAATTAAAATAAAGTAAAATATACTTTGGATATAACATGAGAAGAGGCTCACTGGAAAGGACGGTGATGCTAGGGAAAGTTGAAGGCAATAAGAAAAAAGGAAAACCAAACGAGATGGATTTGCTCAATAAAGAAAGGTTCAGGGTTTACTTTGAAAGAACTGCACTGCTAATAATAGTTGCTTTTGGATGTTCATTAATCCATAGGGCCACCATAAGTCAGACATGACTTTATGGCACATAACAACATACTTTTTAATAAACAGCACACATCTCATCCACAGCCATGTGTAATGTGTACATACCTGACTTTCTGAACAAAATGTAATAGTTCTGATATGGTGGGTTAGACTCAACAAACTCATTAATTTCAGTGGGTCCTCTCTAAGCATGATTAAGAAAACCATGTTCTGGCACCTTCAAATGGGTGAACAACTGGACTCTTTACTCACCAGCATCCGTTCCATGGTGCCATATAGCTTTCGTGTCTTATGAGGAAGCTTCTACAACATCAAAGAGATAAAGGAAGAGATAACTGACAAGCAAGTGCCCAAAAACAATTTCACCGACAGCCAATCCAGAACTCCTGAAAACTATTTGACGGCAAGGATTTCTGACTCAGGATAGTTGAACTGGGCTCTGTATTGATAGTGAAGCCTTGATAACTGGATTAGTAACTCCATCTTTTCAGATTTATCTTGTTAATTATTAATATGTTTAATGATCATACAAAAAAAATAGTCCATGTGATGTAATCCACATTGCTTGAAAAGTAACAAGGAGGGAACCCCACTCTTTAGCAGCCAGCCACAGTGATCCTCTGGAGCCTATTTTTGGAGCCAGTTTTCTTCATCCAGTGATCGCTGTGTGAACTCTTTGTTTCAACTTCTCTTCCAGCTGTTCACCATCATAGCCCTCACTCAACTTCTAAGGGCTCATCTTCTAGGATGTGGTAAGCCACAGTCTGAAGATGTGATGAAACAGGCGAGTAGTTCATTGTATTGTGATGTCAGCTTGAGCTGACTCATTCTATTAAGTATGGATCTCCTAATAAATACCAATACCAATAGAACAAAGACATCACCATTCTAGAACTTGACATCTGTTCCCAGGTTTTATGACCTTATAGGCAAGGCCAGCAGCCCTCCCTCCCACAAATTATGTCCCAATTGAGGGAGTTGAGGGGTGTGACTTTCTTAATGCCTCCTCTAGCCTTGTCTAGTTTTTAACCCCTTCCTAGCTTGTTAACTCAACTTTGTTAACTGTAAGAGCTGACCTAGAGATCTTGCTGCCTGAATTATAGGAGGAGATGGCACCTTCCTCCATTCTGCAACCCAAATGGCTCTTGATTCTGAGGGTCCTCTCCTACATCTGAAGGTAGCAGGCCAATTTAGGGAGATGAGGCCAACCTGTATGGAATAAACAGCTCTGTTCTCTAAGTGCTTCCCAACATTGGGTCCCCAGATGTTCTTCGCTGTAATCATCAAGAAATCTTGGCCAGCACAGCTAGTGATGAAGGTTTCTGGGAGTTTTAGTCCAAGGACATCTGTGGCCCAAGGCTGGGAACCACTGCTCTAACAGAATAGTAAGGTCAAGGGGCTCAAAAGGGGCTGCCACTGTTAGATGCTAGTATCTTGTCACCCGAAGGGATTGCATCACTCTGCCTAATGAAAGAGCTGGCCCTATCAGATATTTAGGATGTCTATCCAGAACATCTCCAACAGCTCTGAAGGTCCACAGGACACTCATCTGACCCTGCGTCTTCCCCTCCATATCCCACACCCAGAATTACAGCCGAAGCAAGTACGAGGTTTGGCCTCTTGGACTGAAATGGCAAGGAGGAGATCCAGCAGACTCTTCTCCACAATGGTGTCCAGAGAACAGTCTGGTTTCTCTCTCTTGTACAGCAGAAACCTACCTCCCAGGTTCTAGAGAGACGGCTGATAGCAGAGTGGCTCAGCCCAAACATCACAGCAAAGAAAGAGTTCAAGTTCTTTTGGTCCTTCAGGCTGAAACAAAAAAAGGATACATGAGGCTCTGATCAAAGAGGGAGTCCCGAACAAGGAGTAGTCTAAATCACAGATGTTCCCATTGCAAATCCCAAGATAGGCTTAGCTCATATAGTACTCTGAGTTTTCTTAAGAACAGAGGTGATCTGGATCAGTGCCTACTGCAGGGATCGATGCAGAAGGTACATTAGCATCAACAGCTATACCTCTGGATTATTTGCAGGGGATCATCCCAATTATTTTGCAAGTCAAACACTTTCCCACTTCCTCTAAACTCAGTTGCAGAAACTAAGAAAGCTTGCAGGAAAACCAGGAATGGACTTCCATGTGAAAGGACTGTGAGCAAATTCTGGAGCTAAGAAAAAAAAATTCTGACCCCAGCAAGTGCTCCGAAGTACTCTAGTTCCTTAATTTTATGGACACATTTTCCCCCATTGCCTTCCTCCATCTTAAGCCATTCTTTTTATACTGGTGCTAGCTGGTCATGATTCTAGTTGGATCGTGGAAAATGGATGTTTTCTGATTATAACTTCCGCTGACGATGGTGGTGGTGGGGATTACAGGAGTTGTTGTCCACAAATCCGATTTTCCAAACTCTAGTTTTTTCTTTTAAGAAGAAAAAGGAGGAAAAAATCCCAAAGTATATCTCCCAAGTTTGAAGTGTATCCTAAATCTGGCCAAATACTATCTTGTCTACCAGACACTTACTGTGCAGCTATTTTGATGAATTTGCGGAGCAGCTGGGCCCTCTTCACAACATCCAGACACAAGCAGACCTCAGTGGTAACCCAGAACTGCAGCTCATTGAAACGACGGAGGAAGCGTTCCAGGTTGGCTGTGGTTGCACTTGGAAACTTCCGTGGGCCGAAAATGTAGTAGATCAGTTCCACCTTAAAAAACACAAGATCTGGGAGTGTCTCCGCTGAACTCCAACCTTAAAAATACAAGGCTTTGGCTCAGCTCCACCTTAGAACTTGTGAACTAAAAGTCAGAGATTTTTGCTCTGATCTGCATTATCCATTTAAGCCTTTTTGAGGCAACCACCAGAAATCTCTGCTCAGTGCCAACACTGTGTGAACAAATCATGGCAAAATTATTGGTAGGAATAACAATATACCCAAAAGCCTAGATCAAAATTATATTCTATATACAGTGCATTGTAAGAAGACAGAATGGGAATGTGTAATAATGCTGAGAAAGGTGGAAAGCAGTAGGAAAAGAGGAAGACCAAATACGAGATAGATTGACACTCTAAAGGAAGCTACAGGCTTGAGTTTACAAATGCTGCGCAAGGCTGTCGAAGTGCTGAGAACACATAAGACTCACAGTTCTAAAAGAAGCTACAGGCTTGAGCTTACAAATGCTGCGCAAGGCTGTTGAGGAAGTGCTGAGAACACATAAGACTCACAGTAGAGGTTCTTCATGCCTCCCATAGTTTGGAAATTAGTGTGTTTTAATGATCAGTTTTTGGAAGGCAAGCATAGAATTTGCTCCCAAGTATGGCTGCTTTAGTCATGAAGGTCTGCTGGAACTACTTCTCTGAAACACTTAGATCTCAGCTTCCAAAGATGCACTGTATTTTTCCGTGTATACAACAACACTTTTTACTTACATAAATAGACAAACAATTGAGGGTCGTTTTATACACGGAAGGAAGCCACTTTCTCTGCCTTTTCAGAAGCCACAGGGTAAAGCAGCTATGAAAGGGTGGCAGGATCCAAGGGGTGCCAGCATGCTGCCCTTTCACAGCTGCGTTACCCACTTCCTTGGCAGGATCCAAGGGGTGCCAGCTTGCCGCCCTTTCACAGCTGCGTTACCCACTTCCTAAGCCCCGCAGGGCTTAGGAAGTGGGTAATGCAGCCATGAAGGGGTGGCAGGATCGCAACTCTTTGATCCTGAAGCAGTGATGATAGGCTTTCAGGATCAAAGGGGTGTGATCATGCAAATTTACAAATTTTCTAATTTGGGGGTTAGAAAGAGGGGGGTGTCTTATACATTGGGTCATCTTATAAACAGAAAAATATAGTATATAGTTTGGCTTCCAGTCTTGCTAATTCATTCCACAGATGTAGGTTATGAATGAGTCTCCTTACCTGATGGATGCTTTTGAAGAGGCTCCAGTCATGCTCTGTCAAGTGACTGGCCAGATCCTTGGAACTGATGAAATCCAAGCTTTCTGAGGACCCCACAGTGAGGCCCAACTGCTCTGGGTGAGGAGTCTATGCAAAAAGGTTGGTCACAACAGAGTTGAGGGCACCAGATACGTGTGACACTCTTAACAACTCCCTCCAACACCTAGTATGAAATGTTAGCCCAGCTCATCATTGGCAAAAGGTGCTATCGTCCTAACCATACATGAGCCACATGTTTACACCACTTTTTAGTTGTGCACTCCCTACTTCCAAGAACTTTGGAAAGCTTCAGCTTCTAAAGAGAGCTAAAGGTTTTCCATTAGCCACAGCTCTATCTTCCTTATCACAGAACTCAGATTCCCAAAACCCTTTGCAGGAAGTCATCATAATAGTTAAAATGGGGTCACACAGGATTTCCTTTCTCTTTGGCTCCTCTTTTGCCAAGAAGGGCCAACATGCCAGCCCTGCTGAAAGACCTTATCCCAGAAGGCTCCTTCCTCAGCCGTCACCACCAGCCATTCTAGGAGAGTACAGGATTTCTTTCTCTTTTGCCAAGCAGGGCCAACACGCCAGCCCTGTTGAAAGACCTTCTCCCAGAAGGCTCCTTCCTCAGCCGTCACCACCAGCCATTCTAGGAGAGGAAGAGCGCTCCAAGAGTTGTTGTTGTTTTAAGAATCAGGCAAACCGACAGACAAACAAATGTATGGAACACCATCCGTCTTTTATTGACTAATCCAATGTTAGTTTCCAATAAAAAATAAGGGTGACAGACAAACAAATGTATGGAACACCACCCATCTTTTATTGACTAATCCAATGTTAGTTTCCAATAAAAAATAAGGGTGGGACTACACAGCAGGAAAAAAGTAAATGGATCCATTGTGAAGTTGCACCTAGGAAGTCAGGTTTCGCAGGACAAATTTGCCTTCAGCAGACTACACAGAATTCAGCAGGGGGGGGGGGAATGAAATAAGACTTGTTCGCAGCTTGTTAACCACTTGAATCCTCTCCTCCCCCTACCTTCTACCGGGGTCTGCTTGTTTGCCACTCAACTTCCTGTTTGGTTTTTTTCCCCCATTTCTTTTCTTTTAAAAGATTACTGGGCTACCACTAAGCCAGTTAGTCAACTAAAGAGGGGGAAAAGATTAACACTGAGATGAGGAAGTTTTCACTTCAGCCTTTTTCTTAAGGTAGTTCTGCTCCAGATGTGCAGGAAGCACAGTTGGAGCAGAACTGCCTTAAAACTTCCTCCCATCTCCCCCCACCCACCCCTTGGTTAGCCGAAGTATCTCCTGCACAGACTCTCAGGTCTGTGCAGGAGATACTTCACAAGTTATGACTACAGACTGAGGGATGAGGGTTCCTCAAAAGTCTTCTACTTATCTACAAGGAACACACACTTACCAAGATATGAAGTTCCTGGACAGTGACAGCAAAGAGTCTCTCGTTCACCCCCAGTGATGTAAACACACCAAAGGCCTCCATAGGCAATACCTCTTTATCTACCAGAGAGAAAGAAAAATCAATAAGAGATATCATTTTGTCCTCATTTGACCACAAGGGGGCAGCAGCATGTGTCCCACAGTGCCAACATCAGCCGCTTGCTAAAACTGTGACCACACAGTCAAATACTGCGGAATTTGCTCTTCTTACTAAAGCAGATAAATTCAAATTGCTTTTTACTGATTACTGTGTGCCCGCACTGGGCCACATGCTTCTGCCACAAACTAGCAGTACCTGTTTGATACTGACAGGCACTAGAACCAAACAGAGACTATGGGTTCAGGGCTAGCACTGTGTTTGGTGGCACCCTTGGGGCTGGTAGCACAGGTGGCAGCAACATCCCCACCGTACCCCCTCCCTCGGGCAGCAAAGACAGGAATCAGCCACTTTGCTCCCAGGTAGTGAAGGCAAGTCCATTCACTCTAAAGAACCCGTAGCCTCAGAAGTAAAAACAAAACCTGGCACATCCGGCAGCAAATGCTGCTGCTGCTATTTGCACCCACCATTTTGATTCTCCCCCAATTCTGTTGGCACCCACAGAGTACAGTCGCGCCCTGCTTAACGATTACCCCACATTACAACGAATCCGCTTTACGATGATCTTTTTGCGATCACAATTGCAATCGCAAAACGATGGTCTAAATGGGGGAATTTCACTTAGCGATGATCGGTTCCCTGCTTCGGGAACCGATTTTCGCTTTACGACGATCAAAAACAGCTGATCGTCAGGTTTTCAAAATGGCCGCCGGGTGCTTAAAATGGCTCCCCGTTGTGCTTAGGGACGGATTCCTCACTATACAGGCACCAAAAATGGCCGCCATATGGGGGATCTTCGCTGGACGGTGAGTTTTTAGCCCATTAATGGGTTTTTAAATTTCACTTTACGACGTTTTTGCTTAACAGTGATTTTCCTGGAACGGATTATCGTTGTTAAGTGAGGCACCACTGGGTGGTGTTTGTTTGAAGAAGGAAGAAAGAGAAGAAAAGGGCCCCTATGCCTCTGGAAATTCTGTGGTTATCCGTGTGCCCATCCCAGCACAACAGGCTGCCCTGATCAAACACAGGAAGAATCCTTCTATGGCCACTGGGACTAAAATAAATCACTCAATCTACTATCCGGCCATGTGTGCCCTTCTGCCATGGCCCTTGGAGGGACTGCATGAGCTGTCATGCCTCCTGCATCTCCTGCCCTTCCCTGGGTGAAAGGACGGAGGGGGCACACTGCACTCACCCCCTGACGAATTGATCTTGATCAGGAGCCAGTCTTTGTTCCAGCCGTGACTCTCCGCCAAAGAGGCGAGAATTTTTTGCACCGTCGCATTCACTGGTAGCAAGGTGGTGAGGCAAGAATGGTCCGGCCGATAGATGTCATAGGGGACTGGAGAAGGAAAGGGGAAGAAGAGAAGCAAAGGGAATAATATGAGCAAGAGAGCAGAGCATGTTAGTTGGCATAAATATATAAAGTCTCTCGCTTAGTCCCCTTATATTACCAATGGTTCCTTGAAAAGTTCCTTGGTCCTCCCCTTCCATTTCCCCTTTTCCTTCTGTGTCCTGACTACAAGCCTGCAAGCAAGGACTGTCTTTAGCTAATTATATACATGTTGTTCGGGGAGCCTTTGTTGTTGTTGAGGAGCAGCAGAAGAATCTGCTTTGGAATAATTAAAGCAGAGTTGTGCAATTTATGACCCAGCAAACCAATCATGGTTCCCCAGCTTTGTGTTATAACCAGTCAAGGAACTAACTCCAGTTGTTAGTTCTCCCTCCAACAGACCCACAGAATGAATAGGACTTGTTCAGTCAACACCTATTTTAAGTCCCGTTGATTCAGTGGGTCTACAGTAGTCCAGACAAGGGATGGAAAAGCACATCCATCTAGATCTTGGTTGGTCACAACTGCCATCAGCCCATGCCCGGGCATATTAAATAGTGAGGAATGCTGGGAGCTGTAGTTCAAGAACATCTGGAAGGATGAGCTTTCCTGACCACCTGACGTAGCCCAAAGGGCTTAAACTTCCTATTGCTGGTCATGATATCCTGGTGTTCTGAGATTCATCCTCACTAAAGAATGTAAAGCAGTGTTTCCCAACCTTGCATCCTCAGATGTTCTTGTACTACAAATCCCAGCAATCCTGGCCAGCACAGCTAGTGTTGAAGGTTTCTGGGAGTTTTAGTCCAAGAACATCTGGGGACCCAAGGTTATGAGCCACTGATGTAAAGCCAAGGGATGGCAGGTCAAATTTGTACATGAGCTAGGAAAAAATTATAAATTTACTCTTGTCCTTGGCTCGGATGGTGTAGCTGCTGTTCAGAAATGGTTCCTCTTGGATGGCAAACCAATCCACCACACTGCGTGCCTGGGAATGAGAAAGAAAGAAGGAGATGCTTAAAAAAAAAAAAGAATTCCTTAATAGGGTAATGCAAGTTCTCAGTTGCTCAACTTTCAAAGGCTGGCATGCAAAGATACAAATAATGCCTGAGAAAATACTGTAAGTTAATAGGATGGTCTATAAATTAAGGTTTCTAATTACTGGGGGAATTTTGCACTGTCCCTTCCCATTAATGAGAAAAAACGGACACTCTTTCAAGTGTGTAAGAGGGTGTGTGTGTGTGTGTGTGTGTGTGTGTGTGTGTGAGAGAGAGAGAGAGAGAGAGAGAGAGAGAGAGAGAGACATCATTTGGGATGCCTTGGAGCACCATTGTGCATGTGTGAGTGAAAATCAAATAGTACACACAGCCTTAGGGATACAACAGCCTCTCACTTCTTGGATGTTCCACAGGTTTCCCCCATTCTGGACCACTAAACCATCTTGATTATTCAGTAAACAGCAAGACTTCTTTTAGTGTGGAGTTCTAGAGTCAAGAAACTGCTACACAGAAAACCTTGACTCATAAACTGAACAACTTAGCGTCTCAGGCAGAAAGGGACTGAAGAGTTGCAAAACCTCCAGTTACAATTAATTATTTTTACCTGAAGTTTTGGTGATCCACTGCTGTTGCCATTTTCTAACCTATCAAGGGAGGGAATGAAAGATCCATCAGCTTCCAATAATAATATTGACTTGGGCTCACTCTGCTTTTCCAGGGAACACCTCAAACGTCCATGGGATGCAGGTCTGAAGCAGAGTAACGATTATCCGATTACAAAAAGGAAGGAGACAGGAAAACATCAGGAATAACTCCAGGATCTTCCAAACATCACAGCCCCACAATATAACTCAGATAATCCAGACTATGAATGGCCAAGAGATTACCCACACATTATGCCTAATTTTCGTTCAGATCTTCTCCAGAAGACCCTTTCCACTCCTTACATCGGGATCCAGTTCACTCTTCAAAAAATAAATGGTCTCACAAATCCATACCCTGACAGAAACTTCCAGTGATTCATGTCCCAACAAGGTTGGTGCTCATCAGATTTTTTTTAAAAAAAGAATCTACACTGATTTGGGTCTGGTTCACTAACTTCACATTGTTTTCCAATTTAATGTGCAGAAGTCAGAAAAACTGCAATGTAATTATCCCCTATAATCATCATCATCACCACCACCACAATGTGCTGTCAAGTCAATTCTGATGAACCTCTTCAGGGCTTTCCAGGTAAAGAGTCCTCCAAAGTGGTCTCCTATTCCCTTCTTCTGAGGTGCCCTGGGACTGTGCAGTTTGCCCAAGGTCACACGGGCTGACTCTTCCGGGATGCACAGCAGGGAACGGAACTCCCAACCTCTGGCTCTGCAGCTGGATATCTAAACTACTGAGTATCCACTGGGGTGGCATGTTCTGCATGCATAGATTATTAGGAAGATGCATGGTGAAAGCATCATGGGAAAACACGGCCAGTCCCAACTTCCCACTGCACAGATCAGGGTGGGAACCTTTGTATCCCTAGATATGTTGGACTACAGCTCTCTGTCTCTTTGCATTTGCCTTAGCAGCTGGGGCGGCTGGCAGTTTAAGACCAAAGTATCTGGAAGGAAAATGTTTCACTACCCCAAACACAGATAATCTATGGTTCCTAAAGGGACCGCTTGCGAGTCCATAGCAGCAAAACCAAAGAATGGTTTCCAACCAAGATATACTATTGTCTATGCAAGTTTATGCTATAATAAATATTTATTATAGCATAATACAAGATTTTGGAGGGGGAGCAAAATCCTGTTGCAAAATAGGGTAAAGGTAAAGGTTCCCCTTGACATTTAGTCCAGTCGTGTCCAACTCTATGTACGGGGTAGTGCTCATCCCTGTTTGCAAGCCATAGAGCCAGCGTTTGTCCGAAGACAGTTTCCGTGGTCACGTGGCCAGCGTGACTAGACACAGAATGCTGTTACCTTCCCACCAAGGTGGTACCTATTTATCTACTCACATTTTTACATGCTTTTGAACTGTTAGGTTGTCGGGAGCTGGGACAAGCGACGGGAGCTCACTCCATCGCATGGATTCGATCTTACGACTGCTGGTCTTCTGACCTTGCAGCACAGAGGCTTCTGGAGTTTAACCCGCAGCGCTACCACGTCCTTATGACATTGCAAAATACCATATGCCTAAAGGGAATTGTGCTAGTGGTTGTTTTTTTTTACAGATTTCCAGCTATCTGTCACACCCTTGGGCAAGGGAGCATATAATCAAGGCCCCAACCTGTGCATGTATGAGCACGTGCAAAAAAAGAGAGAAGCATTGTGTGCACACGCAATGCCTGGCTACCATGATGCAATCTCCAAAGGATTCGGGCCTTTGTTGTTGCAGCACATTACACTAGAAATAGGCAAGAGGCCAATTAGGACCTTCGGGCAGCACTCTGCGAAGTTGGGCGGCTTCCCAGGGACTTTTAAAAGGTTGTTTCCCAACTCTTTGACAACAGCAACAACTGAAATTCTCTCTCTGCTGCTGCTGCTGCTTCTGTCCAAGCAAATAAAATCTGGACGGTGTGGGTGAGGAACAAGATGCAAGTTTGAAAGATCCACTCCAGTAGATGAATCTTGATGATCTCATTTGGAAAAAATGATTGTATAAACCCAACTTTTCCCATGCCTCTCTGAACTATACACATGAATAAGGAAATAAAAGAGTGCCAGTCTGGTGTTGTAGATAAGAGCGTTGGACATCAACTCATGAGACATGGGTTCAAATCTCTGCTCAGCCATGGAAACTGGTAAAATCACTCCTTAAATACCTCACATACATCAGAATCTCTAATAGGTTTGGATGTGACTTTGGTGGCAAATAAAAATAATAATGTAAGGAAATTCAGCCTTCTACAAGTAACCCTGCCCAGTCTTCCCTGTCGCAGCCAGATTGTCCCCGAACAATACACCCGCAGGCTTTGGAACAGGGTACAAAAACTCACACTCGGTTCTTCCGCCGATCTTGCATCTGTTCCCTGAGCACGGGGGCCAAACGAGTATCCTGGGCGGCGTACTCAGAAAGTCCCTGCAAGAGAAGAACCAACACTGATCAGCAAAAAAAAATCAGGCTTTGGTTTGGGCTGGGTCCTTGTAAGAGCCGAGCGTTAGCCCTCCTGGCTAAAAGAGGAATTAAAAGGGAAGAAATCCAGATTATGGTTTTTCAAATGTTGGCAGAGAGCCAAAACTGACTAGGAAGAATAGGCTAGTCTGTCGGTTGCTACAGGTATGCGAAACTGGAGGAAGAGGGGGTTTCATAGTAGGCTTTTCTCGCACTGCCTTGTTGGGGGGGGGGATGGAGCCCGTGGAGTCCTCACAGACCCCTCCCCGGCCTTTCCTCACAGCCATCATTCAGTGGGTCACAGTGGCTTTTCTCTTCTTTTCCTTGTTAAATCAAGTGGCATCTCAAAAAAAAACCAGGCTTTTCTTGCACCGAGCCTTTGGCTCAGGACAGGGGAATTTGGAGCAGTCTGGATCCTGCTTAAAAGGTTCAGTGGGATCTCTTTCTATCTCTCTCCTGCGCGATCCTGTTGTTCACCCTGGAGACATTTATTCTCCCACGAGAAGGGTCCACACAGGCCTTTGGATCTCCTGTTAACTTGCAGGCAGGTTTACTCAGTTTACTCAAGAGTAAGCAACTGCAGCAGAGGACAGCAGCAGCAGCACAAGGGGGAAAGGCTGCGTAGATGTTTCTCCACCTTTCTCCTCAGTCCGAGCTCTGCTTGGGCTGCACTGCCTGGGGGGGGGGATGGAGCCCGTGGAGTCCTCACAGACCCCTCCCCGGCCTTTCCTCACAGCCATCATTCAGTGGGTCACAGTGGCTTTTCTCTTCTTTTCCTTGTTAAATCAAGTGGCATCTCAAAAAAAAACCACTGCATCAACCTAGCACAGGATTAGAATTGTGCTGCCTTATTTACGGAAATATATTTTTTAAAAAGATGATGAAAATAGATGAAAAGGGGGTTTCTTCATCCTCCCTTTTAACGTCACAACCCACCTCATCAGCCACAGGGCTGTCAACGCTGCCCACAGCTCCATTTGGATGCAGACCAAGGGCAGGATGGATCAAACTAAGTAGAAACATGTGTGGATGCTTTAATTTGGTTTACACCAAACCACACCGACAGTGACCCAACAGCAATCTATATTCTTGTCTGGACAGGCCCTCATTCTCTAAATTTTATGGGAGTCTTCAGATAAGAACCATCTCTAACCGTAACTTGTTATTCCTCTACCACTTCTTCCACATTTTTTCCCCTTGGCTAACCATTTCTCCTTTTACATGGGAAAAGATAGAAGCAAGGACTTGCTGGGGATTCATGAAAATACTTCAGCGGTCGACCCACATGCAGGATAACCCAAGTAGTCTGATGAAAGGTAAAGGTAAAGGTTCCCCTTGACATTTAGTCCAGTCATGTCCAGTCTAGGGGGCAGTGCTCATCCCTGTTTCCAAGCCATAGAGCCAGCGTTTGTCCGAAGAGTTTCCATGGTCACATGGCCAGCGCGACTAGACACGGAATGCCGTTACCTTCCCACCGAGGTGGTATCTATTTATCTACTCGCATTTTTACATGCTTTCGAACTGCTAGGTTGGCAGGAGCTGATACAAGCGACGGGCGCTCACTCCGTCGCATGGATTCGAACTGCTGATCTTTCGACCTTGCAGCCCACAGGCTTTGCAGGCAGGCAGCAACTGAATGCTTCATCCTTTGTGAATCTAGAGGTACCAAACTGCTGTCAGCACCACAAGCAACATCAATAAAGAGTGGCCCCCTGTTGTAACCCCACAGTATGGCTTAATACCTCTGTAGATATGGACAATAGCTGTCATTCCGTCCCCTGCTGCCATGTTGTCAGTGTTGGAGCTGAGCCCTTAAGAGAAGGAGTAGGGAGCTTGCAATTCCTAGAACAATGTATAGTCTTTGGCCTGATTTCACATGGCCCTTGGGTTAACTTCAAAAGCCCTTTATAAATGACCTATTCAGTAGTTCACAGCACCTGGGAGAGAAATGGATTTTGCTAAGACTAGTATATCATTGCCATCTGTCCCTATTGAAATGCCAAGGATTTGAAAGTGGTTTAGTCTTTCAGGTGCAATTAAGAGCCATGACATTTACAAAAGATCTGCTCCTCATTTCTTCAGGCAAACTAACCCAGCTGCTTACATTTTTGGACTCTCGGTGGGGGTGGATTCTGTTGCACCTTGGCTGCTGCTTCCATATGGTTTGCTTACTAACCCCAAATGCTATTACCTGCAAGAAGGTCATCACGCTGGGTTCTGCTTGCAACAGGCGCCCACAGAGCAGCACCCATTGATTCACCAGCCACAGGATCTTCTGCCTCTTGCCCAGGATGTAAGCAGCCTTGTCCTGTTCGGTGCCTTCTGAAGGCTCTGAATGGAAAGTGAGTGGGAGTCAAGGAGACAACGAGACCAAGCTGTGGGCAAAGCGGCCCTTCAGACACAGGCTCCATGTGCATATACAGGCAAGGATTCATTTCCAACATTGCCCAGCCAGCTATTATATCAGGAGCTTTATGGGAAATTCAGATTGTAGCTCCAGTCACCAGACACTATCTGGTACACGCAACTAGGAAAGAACGGTGAGGAGTGGATTAGTTCATTGAGGTGGCAATGCTACATCCAAGTACAGTGGTGCCTCGCTAAACGATGATAATCTGTTCCACTGAAATCACTGTTTAGCAAAATCATTGTCTAGCGAAAAGCATTTCCCCATTGGAATGCATTGAAACTTATTTAATGCATTCCAATGGGGAAGAATCGTCGTTGTCTAGTGAAAATCGGCCATAGGAAAGCCGCTTTGCGAACCACCGATCAGCTGTTCAAATCTGTCTTGCGAAGCTTAGGTCCCGAAAACACCTGTTTTGCAAGCGCGGAGGGAGCTGCCAAAATTGTCATCTAGCAAAAATACGTTTGTGAAGCAGCGACCAAACATTGTCCAGCAAAATTCCCCCATAGGAATCACTGTTTTGCGAATCACTATAGCGATCGCAAAAAGTCAGTGTCTAGCGAAAAAACTGTCATGTGGGGTAGCTGTCTAGTGAGGCACCACTGTACCTGGTAGAGAAGTAAGATTTTGATTTATGGCAACCCTGCCAGGGTTTTTTAGGCACAGAGTACCTAGAAGGGGTTTACTTGTACCTCCTTCTGGTGATGCTCTGGGATCGTGCAGCTTGTCCAAGACCCTATGACCAGCAGAATGGGCAGCCCAGCCAGCCTTTATGCTCCGGGTAGACTCAGCGGGTCCCTCACAAAGGGGACACAATGGGGATGCCAGCTCCTGCCCATGGGCAAGGCAGCTAGAAACTAACTGAGCAGAGCTCTGCCCGCTATTACGCACGTGTGTGTTCTTGCAAAGCATCACATTAGGAAAAAGAGGTCTTCCTTTCCACTGTTGTATAAGAACAGGGGCAACATCTCTCTTCAATCGAATACTTGCCACCTCCTGCTTTTGTAAGCACTTGTACTGGACATTCGTGTGCCAAAAAATCTTGTGCTTTTAATTATGGGCATAAATACCAACTCGGATGAGGATGTGACTTGGAGTGCACTGTCTCTGAAACAAATGTGCTGTTATTGTAAAGCGCTTTAGGTCTCTCTGGCTATGGAGCCTGAGGTTGAGAGTTCGATTCCTCACTGTGCCTTCTTGACAGGGGCTGGACCGATGATCCCCTCCTGCTCTGCCGTTCTAAGACAAAGGTGATGATGATGAATAAATTAATAACTTATTTTAAAAGCATCTTCTGCTTGTTTAATCTCAGGTACAGTATGTTTTGATTATAATAAATAATCCTGTAATCAAGTTAATTTTGACTGACGGCGAGCCTTTTCAGGGTTTTCCAGGTAGAGAATACTCTGAAGTGGTGTCCCATTCCCTTCTTCTGGGGGGGCGTCCTGGGACTGTGCAGCTTGCCCAAGGACACACAGGCTGGCTCTACTCTCAGGAGGCACAACTGGGGGAATGGAAGTCCCAAATTCTGGCTCTGTAGCCAGATGTTCAAACCACTGAGCTATCCAGCCAACTGAAAATTGATTAAACCTGCTAAATAAGTAACTAAGCCTTAGTTAAAATGTGTATCTAGATAGCCGTGACAAGGCCAGATTGAACTTTTCAAAACTAAAGTAACTGCAGATGAACGCTGGGAACAAAGATCTGACGTCTCCCTAGCTCAAAGATGTTCTGGGGCCAAACCAGACCCTGTACATTGTTCCCCCCCCCAACTTCACCCTTTGATGTTCAACAGTCCAGAGGCACCATGGACTTGAAGCATCCCTTGCCTGCTATATTGGCCGTGCAATAAGCCCCCCCCACACACACACACTTTTTCCCCTTAATGTGGAGTTCAGGGAAGATACATCCAATGAAGGATATTGTTGAAGGAGAGTTCTGCAGAGCTGTGGTGTTGGCATGAACAAATCGTGTGTCAGGAGGAAATCTCCAAGGAAGGTGTCTGCAGAAAGAGCAGAGAAGTCATTGTGAGGCACAAGACATGAGATGACATCCTGACCTAAAAACAGGAAGGAAAAGCAGAGAATGTCTGCAGTCACACTCTTGGACGTGATTCTAAATCCCACAGATACATTGGTCGCAGGTGCTAGAGGTTATCCCCCTGTTCCTTTCATGGGAGTAGGAAGCAACACCAGCACCAAGGGAGAGGAACATAAAATGGCCTCTTCCATTAAAAAAACAAAAGTTGGGCGAGGCACTTAACGGCCTGGAGATCCTTGGCATCCCAGGGACACACAGCTTGAATAGGGCACTGGCCTGTCCTGAGACATATCCCTGCTCTGAAGAGGGGGAATATTCCTTTAAAAGGGAAGGGGGAACACCTATGTACAGTATTACTTTTTCATACTAGTTTTAATAAGGAAGATATTATTCATTCTTCACCAGCAATGAATAAAGTAACCTGTTATCAATAAACTACTGTAATTTTTATTGTTTATCATGAAATCAATTAAAATGACCACACCCCCAAATTTCCCCAAAACTTTTATATAATAATGAGTATTCATAAAACAAATGTTTTTATGACTACACTGCTCTCACAAAAATACTGAATACTAAAAACGGTATCTCTTGTTACTCAACAAGGTTATCCACTGTAACGCCATTACTTCTGACCACACTTGTTCCATTTCTATTGCTGCTCCAACTTCTCAGCTCCAAATGACTTCCTTAAGTTGAAAATGGCCTTGGAGTTTTTCTCTTCATGCCAGAAAGTTATGCGCTTGTTCTCCTCTGTGTTAATAAGTGGACCTCAAACTTACCTATTGGATCATGCAGTGTGGAATCTGGACGCATGACTTCCAGCAGATAATCCAGTATTTTTTCAGGTGTCCCAGCCATTACTGAGTACCTAAAAGGGAGAAGGAGGCATGGCGTCACACTGAATGACTGACAAATGTAAGACACACCCACCAGATGTGCCTAATCATCCACCACAGCATTCAACTTGACTGAGCAAGTTCCGAAGCCCTCCATTGAAACATCAGCTGATTTCGACAGCCACTCTGACCAATTCCCATATGATTACACTGATCATGATCACTCTATAATAATAGGGCTGAAGTTTGCCGTTGCCACCCAAGCAGCTACAGAAGATCTTACAGAAGCATTCTGTGCTGACGGCTGCATTGCATCATAGCTGTTCTAGTCTTAATACATTGCACATAATGGAGTGTATATGTGAGTCAAATAAGTGCAATGGTCCCTCGCAAGACAAACGCCTCGCAGGACGAAAATGGACTTTATATGTGAGTCAAATAAGTACAATGGTGCCTCGCAAGACGAATGCCTCGCAGGACGAAAAGCTCGGAAGACAAATGGTTTTGGCAATGGGGTTGATGACTCACAAGACGAATGTTCCTATGGCCATGCTTCGCAAGACGAATGTTTTCCATTTTTTGTTCCTGCCTCATGTTTGCTGATTTTTAAATGTTTTTCTATGATGATTAAAAAGTTAAAGTTTTTTGACTGAAATTTTTGAAATCATCTGCACAATATGTATGGCTTTAAAGAGCACTTAATAAACCCTTTGTAAACCAAATTTGACTTTGTTCTGACTTCTTTTGCCCATAGGAACACATTAATTAGATTTCATTGCATTCCTATGGGAAAACGCATTTCGCAAGATGAATTTTTCACAAGACAACATTAACTGCGGAACGAATTAAATTCATCTTGCGAGGCACCACTGTATACAGAAGAACAACTCTATTATTTTAAGCCAAGCTTGTTTCCACAGGCGACCTCACTGAAACTTATTGCCATTGAGATGTATCTTCTTGAAACTGAAGAAGACAAATGAGACGTTTTTGCTTGGATTCTATTTCACACACCTTCTAAAAAAAACACATGATCACTGTTGCAATGCGGTGTTAACAAGCCCCTTTCAGGAGGACTTCTGCAAAGAAACACAAATCCTCAGTGCTCTTTTCTCCCTCACATAAAAGACACAAAACAATGAGAAGGAAGGGCTTGTGGAGGCCAGGGAGGGAAGCTAGGCTAGTCTCTAAGAGGGAACAGGGATAGGCAGTTGATAGACCGCTGTACCTACTGCTCCCTGGAGTTCCAGGAAGGTGACTGGAGCTACTGCCTTGCAAATTCTTCTCCAAAACAAGCACCACCTTCCCATGCTCCTTCAGTCGCAGGGTATTGGCTTCAACATCCTAAGAGAGAAAGCAAAAGCTGGTGAAGTAGGCAATATCAGTCTATGCTGTGCAGACTTTAAGGGACATGGTGGCACTGTGGATTAAACTGCAGAAGCCTCTGTGCTGCAAGGTCAGATGAACAGCAGTCATAAGATCGAAGCCACGAGACGGGGTGAGTTCCCATAGCTTGTTTCACCTCCTGCCAACCTAGCAGTTCAAAAGCATGCAAAAATGCAAGTAGATTAATAGGTACAACCTCGGTGGGAAGGTAATGGCGTTCTGTGTCTAGTCATGGTGGCCACGTGATCACGGGAACCGTCTATGGACAAATGCTGGGTGGCCACGTGATCACGGAAACCGTCTATGGACAAATGCTGGCTCTACGGCTTGGAAACGGGGATGAGCAATGTCCCCTAGAGTCGGACACGACTAAATGTCAAGGGGAACCTGGGGAACCTGGGGAACCAGCTTCTTTAGCTGTCTCTTGGCAGTGCAGTGCAGACTGAACAACAACTGCTCTCACACACACACATGTTCTCAAGCTTGGTCATAGCATCATCTCCTTTTGGCATCAAGAAGCTCATCTCACACAGCTTCTTTAGCTGTCTCTTGGCAGTGCAGGTTCCAGGATTAGCTGAGGCACTCCATAAGACTCATTTTAGAAGGTTAAAGAGGGGACGTTTGGTGGGGAGGGGCATGCTGTACAACTACATATTGCGAGGTGGAATTTGGGGCCCAGTCAAGGTGCGTGAATGCAGTCAAGGGGTCGGCTGCTAGAGGCTGTCCCAACTGGGACCTGCTGCAAGGGCTCCCTAGGTTACTTACAAAGGGCAGCAGATAGAAAATTGAAATGGGTGTTGTAGAAAAGGAGTGGGCAGATGTCAAACTTACAGAATCTCCTTTTTAAAAGATGACTAGATGGTGAAAATTGAAAGCTTGAAATGTCTGGGAGTACAAGTGCATCAAATTAAGGACCAATGCTGCCTTTGAGTGTATGCTCGGCTCAGGAACTTCTTTTCAGTGTCAAAACAGGCTACTATCTCAATAATTTCACTTAGAAAGTGGGAAAGTAATGTGTCGTGGTTCCTGTTGTTAACCTGCAGTGATCTATTACAAATGGTAATACCTGCTGCCTGCTGCCCATCAGTGGATATATAAATCCCAGCCAGACATGAGCAAATGGGACAGCGTCATTAAGGGCCAGAGAACAACTCCTAAGGAAAGGTTAAGCTGGTTCTTCAAAGAATTTGAGAAGGAACAGCATAGCTGAAGGAGGGAGACAGAAGCAACAAGCTTGAGAAAGAGAAGAAAGGAAAATGCCCAGGCACGTGGCTCCAGAAATCTGGAGATGAGATTCGGAACTTCATGTGTTGTTCTATCTGGCTTTCCATCCTTCAGCGTCCTCAAGGCTACTGAAATCTGAGATATGCCTTCTGTGCCATATCAAAATCTTCTTGAATGTTCACACCATCTTGCCAGTCTGCAACACAACCTATTCCCAGGCCTGTTAGAAGTGATGAATGGCTCAAGAATATAGGTTGTTGTGGGTTTTTTGGAACCTCCAGAACACGGCCAAACAGCCCGAGTTTTTTGGAACCTCCGCCAAACAGCCCAAAAACCCCACAACAACCATTGGATCCCAGCTGTGAAAGACTTCAAGAACAGGCTCAAGAATGGTTTGCACAGAACCTCTTTGTGTCTAGAGGGGATATAACAGAGAAGGTTGAATGGTAGCAGTAATCTGAGCTTCCTATTTGTCTACGAAGAACAGACTCAAGAATGGTTTGCACAGAACCTCTCTGTGTCTAGAGGGGGATATAACAAAGAAGGTTGAATGGCAGCAGTAATCTGAGCTTCCTATTTGTCTACCCTACTTCCCTGTGGCACAGACTGATGTTCTTAGAAACCCATTTCCTTCCTCCTCCTCTGCTTACATCTCTTCTCCCAGCTTTCTCCTTAGCACGTAGTGTAGCAACCTTAGTAGCCTTCTTTATCCACCTCTCCTTAGCACGTAGCAAGCTAGGGTAGCAACCTTAGTAGCCTTCTTTATCCACAGCCAAGTTCCTCTTATAAACTGGAACATGTGTTTCATTCTAAGTTGGCTTCTTGATTCTTTAATCTGGTCTGCCCACAGAAGCCTGAATGCTTTCCCTCGAAGCCCACCTTTAAGATACGGTTGAAGTCCCGTTTGTCCACCCGTAGAAAGTGGCAGTGGTCTTCACGGAGGATGATGGTGGCTGCCCGGGGGGCATCGTTCACCAGCGCCAGCTGCCCAAAGTCATCGCCCTCATGAAGGGTGGCCACCAAGCCCTGGAAAGAGAGCAACAATAATAAGCTGTTATTGTCCTGTAAGAGTGGCCACACATTCCACATGTGGGAGTTGCTCAGTATTGTCACTTGAAAGCTAAGGCCTCTCAGCCATTCCTTCTCCTTACAATGTTGGCCTCCCATCAGAGACACATACCAATAGACTTATTTTGAGTTCTAGAATCTGGTTGTGGGGGAAAGCATATGTCGGGGGAAAAAACAAGCAAATTACAACCTGGAAAGCTGGTGGGGAAAATCACAAGATGAGGAAGAAGACTAGCACGTCATCCCTTTGATTTTGTCCAAGAACCATACTTCACCTGCGAGCATTAGTCAGCAAACAGATCTCACTGGGATTCTAGATGTCTGCTACAGTGTTGTGTCATTAGTGTATTTGTTTTCAACATGCACAGATACAGACACACATTCAGCCAGTCAACAAAACAGATTTACATTGATCTCAGGAAGCACTGTTCTTGAGTGTCCAGCTGCCAGTCTCGGACTTGGCAATATTCTGGATGGCAGCCTTGCTAAGTCAGCAGACCTCTCAGAATTATAATATAAGACGAGTGGGGTGTATAAATTTGTAAAGCTCAAAGAATATTGTATTGTCATCATATACGTGATAATTGGGCATCTTTAGCCTTGAGAAAAGAAGACTGAGGAGTGATATGATAGCACTTTTCAAATATTTGAAAGGCTGTCATTACAGAGGAGGGGCAGGATCTGTTCTCGATCATCCCAGACACATAATAATGGGCTCAAAGGTTACAGGAAGTAAGATTTTGGCTGAATATCAGAAAAAAAACTTCCTAACTGTTAGAGCAGTACGACAGTGGAACCAGTTACCTCAGGAGTTGGTGAGTGCTCTCACACTGGAGGCATTAAAAAGAACTTGGATAATTACCTGGCAGGTATGCTTTGATTGTATCCCTGCATTGAGCAGGGGATTGGACCTGATGGCCTTCTAGGCCCCTCCCAATTTCATTTTTCTCTGACTCTATGATAATACAGTCTCAGCAATGCTTTAATTTAATTTTATATTGTTATTCTATATAACCATGGTCATCATCTTAGAACTGCAGAGCTGGAAGGGATCCTACGGGTCATCAAGTCCAGACCCGGTCAGGGAGGTACAATGAGGATTCTTTCCTCCAACCTCTGACTCCGCAGCCAAATACCTAAATCACTGAGCTACCCAGCAGTTTACTACAATCCCATCCACCCTATTAAATTCGTTTGGCAAAGCTTTTCCTACCTATCCCATTATAATGGGAGAAGGAAGATGTTCATTATGATTCAGTAAGTAACTTAGGTGGCTAAACTATATCACTAATCTTGCTGTCTCAATGACTTACAAATAATGGCCTTCGTTCTACAAACCTGTTCTTAAATTTGCACAATTTAAATACTGGATTTGGTATGGATTTTATAACACTTGCTTCCAACAGCTTCTAGATAGTAGTATATTTTTCTTTCTTTCGGCAATCTTTAAGCAGCGGAACATAGGTTGTAGTGTGCAAGCCACAATCATTATTGTACTTATAAAAACAGGCATTGGGGTCCACAGGAAGCAAAGCAAGGCAACAACCTCCTCAGTAGCCACAATGCTCAGATGCCCAGCTTGCTTGTTTTTTAAAAGGTCAGCTCCAAGCTCTTGTAGAAGTTGAGATACTATGAGAAAATATGGAGCCACTATCCAATCCCTTTTTAAACAACCAACCTGCTCCTGCAGTGTGTCGCGTTTGTTTTTCAGCCAGAAAATTGAGTCACAGAAATGAATGACACACCCTCTCTCTGGAGAAGGAAATTCCTGGCTCATTTCAAGTCTATTGTTCCAGATTCCTCAAATAGGAAATGACCCCTACCTTAATTTTAAAATAATAGCTGTAGCTGTGGTTAGGTAGTAGACTTTCTCTCCCTGCCATTCTCTCTAAACAGTAGCAGCAAATCCAGCAGTTTGTGTTCCTCCTAATGCAAGGTCATCTTTAGAATTATTAAAATTGTGGCCCTCCCTGAGATTGTAAACATTTATAGATTACCTGGGTAATTAATCACTTTCATATCCATATTGTAGGAGAACATGGCTGATTACAAGACTGTGAGTTACGTCAGCCCTGAAAATTAGAGCTGTAGATTCTGAAGAGGCATTCGTGTTAGTCTGCGCCAGCATATCAGGCCAAAAAGAAAAGAAAAAGATAAAATAAAAAAGGCAACAATGTTGTGGCATCTTAAAGATTAACCTCTCTATTTTAATGTGAGCTTTCATGGTCTGAGAAAGAGGACTTGTCCAGAAAAGATCACATTAAGATATAACCATGTTTAAGGAGCCACCACATTTCTTTCTTTCTTTCTTTCTTTCTTTCTTTCTTTCTTTCTTTCTTTCTTTCTTTCTTTCTGTCTTTTCTTTCTTTCTTTCTTTCTTTCTTTCTTTCTATGCTAGTATTGCAGTTATATCCATTTTGTTACAGGGAGATAAGAACATTCTGTGTCAACCATACAGTGCTGATCAGTTGCTGTTCTGACATATTCCTTCTGCAACGACTTTGTAACGAAATCTAGGGGTAGGGCTGCGAAGGGGATTGTGGTAGCATTATGCTTTATTAATGGACAGGAGGCAAAGGGAACCAGGGGGATAACTGCATTATCACTGAGAACATAAATCTAGAGCTTGGAAATCATATCTTAAACGTAATGCATTAATACTAAAATTGTTACAACTGATACATCTAAAGGATAATAATCTGAAAGCAACGTCTTCTATATTTTGTCACTTTCAAAATTTCATTTTTAAAATAATTAGATGTGTTCTTCTTGGAAGTTAACCCATTAAATCTAATACATGATTTCCAAGCTCTGTACAAATCTGACACAGATTTTCAGAAAGGAACCTACTTATTTTGATTGTTTGATGTCCAGGATTTCCAGCTAGAGGAGACCAGTTCTCTAAAAATATCAAAGCTTTCCTCAAACATAAAATGTGCCATTCCAAAATAAAATGTGCACAGTTTGAATCAAATGATGCTGGAGTTCTTTAAGAATATGGTAAAAAGGCACGAAGTAAAATGAACAGTCCACCTTGCTCTTATTTTATTATCATTGTTGTTATTGTTTAGTCATTAAGCCAGCTAGAGGAGACCAGTTCTCTAAAAATATCAAAGCTTTCCTCAAACATAAAATGTGCCATTCCAAAATAAAATGTGCACAGTTTGAATCAAATGATGCTGGAGTTCTTTAAGAATATGGTAAAAAGGCACGAAGTAAAATGAACAGTCCACCTTGCTCTTATTTTATTATCATTGTTGTTATTGTTTAGTCATTAAGTCGTATCCGACTGCTCTTATTTTATTATCATTGTTGTTGTTGTTTAGTCGTTAAGTCATGTCTGACTCTTTGTGACCCCATGGACCAGAGCATGCCAGGCCCTCCTGTCTTTCACTGCCTCCTGGAGTTTGGTCAAATTCATGTTGGTTTATTATCATAGAACATATTAATTTCCTCTTAGGTCTTCTTGATTTTGCTGCTGTAACAAAATAAGCCACAATAACGTACAAAAGATGTGCACATGCCAGAAAAGAAGGCTGACCATTTTGCCCACCCAACCTATTTCCGTATTACTAAGAGTGTCCGTGCATCTGTATCCATGCTGTATCCACTGAAATCCATATCCGTGACGAAAAAGGCCAGCCCTGCCATTAGGCAGGGTGAAGTCATCCACTGAGATCCATATCCGTGACGAGAAAGGCCAGCCCTGCCATCAGGCAAGGTGAAGTAGTTGCCTTATGCAGATGCTGGTGGGCAACATCATGAGCATCAGATAACATATTTATGGTTGCCTTATGCAGCAGATGCTGGTGGGCAGCATCATGAGCATCAGATAACATATTTATGGCATGATGTACAGAATCAAATCTGCACCAAGGTGGAGGTTTATGAGTACAAAGAATAAAATAATTGTTTATAGGACAACTTAGCACTATTTGGAACGATGGGGGTTCAGAGTGCTTGATTTCCCTTTGTTTAAGAAGTGAGTGATAAATTTCAAAATACTGTTTGAGGAGGGGGCTGGAGCCCCACCCTCACCCCACTGGCCCCTTGAAGACTGCAACTATTTCCACCCAAGTAGCTAAAGCTGGCTTCTACATTGGCCACGAGACTACGGGACTTTAATACGAGCCTATAATAATGGAACCACCCACAAGAAGATGGTGCACAGCCTGAGGAAGAGGAATTATCATTGAAGCACACTCTTTTTTTTTGCTTTATTTTCTTAATGGTCCAATAAGGGGATCACCTGTTCTTGCATTTGTATTGTTTTGAGGACCATACGGCTTTCTCCTGATTTCTTCCTGGATTGTCTATGAATCAGTTGAATTGGAAAGAAAAGAATGGAAATGATGGGGTTAGGAATGGTTAGGACAGCCAGTTTGTTTATATTATAAAAAAAAGAAAAAGGGGCGTGTGATAAGCAAAGAGTTTTTAAGATTGTGAGATCTTGGGACAAATTTGTACACTGAATTGTGTACCAAAACAACCTACCCAACAGCTGACATACAAGGCAAGAAATGTGTAAAGAAATACATTTCCCTCAGACTATAAAAACTCTTAGAAACCTTTACAATTGGACTAACCCCTCAGCTAACCCTCTACAAAGCTGAAATGTACCCACCTTGTCATGTGTGACAACATTGACTGATCCTTTCCAGATGATGTACCAAGAGGTGGCCTTGTCTCCTTGGCTGAACACTGCAAAGAATAAATTCTATACATTGGTGCCACGAACTTGTGGGTCAGGCGCAGTACAAAACAAATACAAAATGGCCAAAATAGGCAATGTTACAGAGCAATGGTTCTCAATCTTGGGTAACCCAGGTGCTCCTGGACTACAACTCCCAGGAATCCTAGCCAGCACAGCTAGTGGTGAAGGCTTCTGGGAGTTTTAGCCCCAAAACATCCAGGGATCCAAGGTTGGAAACCACTGCCATAGAGACAAGCACTTAGGAGAAAGTCGGAGTGGCTTGGATGAACAGTTTTTCAGTGGAGCCAGACAGTTCAATGCACACAACTACCATTGGAAGATAGAGACGAGAGGGTAAGAAGGTGCTAAAAAAAAATAAGATACTTTCCTTCCAGGTTTTACAGAACTGAGGCCTGTGCTGTGTGAAGCTTATTATCCTGCACAGATCTCTGGGATGACACTGAACACAAAATCCATCATTATCCCAAAGAAGCCAATTCACACCACATATCTCTGATCTGCTGCGTGCATAATCACCAGTGACCTGGAATAGGACTCGGGAAGTGCAAGTTCAAATCCCCACTTAGCCCTTCAAGCTCACTGGCAATCTTTGGCCAGTCATTATCTCTCATCCTGACCTACCTACAGGGTTGCTAACAGGAGAAACATGGGGAGGAAAACCTTGTATGCACTTTGAGGATCTTAGAGCAGTGGTTCCCAACCTTGGGTAGCCCAGCTGCTCTTGAACTGCAACTCCCAGAAACCTTGGCCAGCACAGCAAATGGCGAAGGCTTCTGGGAACTGCAGTCCCAGAACACTTGAGTTACCCAAAGCCGGGGATCACTGCCTTAGAGAAACCATGGGATATAAACGTAAGAAATGAGCAAAATTGGAACATATAACATGGGAAGAGCATTTGTAGTTCTTCTCTGGGCATAACCAGGGGAGGTAGGGATTTGTGGCCATTGTTGTCTGGGGAATTCTGGGAACTGTGGTCCAAAAATAAAAATACACACAATTCTAGTAAGAAATGAGAGAGGAGAGAGCAGCCGAAAGTGTCTAAGCACTGCCCAGACAAATACTCACACACGGTTCCAGCCTTTGCATGGGACTCAAACAGCAGGACAGCAGCCAGCTCTCTTTTCACCTGTAATACAGAGGAGAGAGTCAGTGGGTGTGCCTCGCAAGACTCACCATCCTCAAGAGGAAGCAGGCCAGCCACCGGCTCTGCGCACATACCCACTTGCCCACTGGGTGGTGGGCAGATGTTTAGAGGCAGTGGCTGACTCCGGGAAGGGAAGCCAGATCCGCTGCCTCTGTGGATGGCAGTGCAGGTAGAGGCAGGGCTGCAGGAAGAGGTGGCATCAGCAGCAGCAGGAGGTGGTGGGGGGGGCAGTGGGAGGAGGGATGGGAGGGCAGCACAGGAGGTTCAGGTAGAAAGCAGGAGGTGATAGGTTCCAACCCCCACCCACCCCAGGCATGAACTGGAAAAATGAACTGCAAACCAGTTTGCTTTTCTGGAGGTTCGTGGTGGTTTGTGGTTAACCACGAACTGGGAACCAGCACGAACCACTGGTTTTCCAGTTCATACCCATCTCTAGTCAGGGCCTCCTTGTCACTCACCGAACTGGAGAGATGGGCGACCGCTTTGATGTGCAGCAGCTCCTCAAAGATCAGAGCTAGCTCCTCCTCCGTCCGCTGGCCAGGGCTGGAGAAGAAAGTTCAAAGTATGTGATGTGACGCCTCTATAGCGCATGCCAGGTTTCCCTCTCACTCCACAGACTCCCCTTTGCATTCTCAGCATGTGGATGTTCCCCTCAAATCCTGTTAAGGTGTAATACATCACATAAACTAACTGGACACCTTTTCTTTATTCTCCAAGCCATGGGGAGGCGATGAGGAACACAGCAAACAATGCATGTTAATAATTATCTAATGCAGCTAGCACTTTTACTAATACCAGGGAGTACAGCCAGGGTGGGCCCTAGAAAGCATGGCTAACAACAAGGCCAGTGGAGGTGATGGCATTCCAGTTGAACTATTTAAAATCTTGAAAGATGATGCTGTTAAGGTGCTACACTCAATATGCCAACAAGTTCGGAAAACTCAGCAGTGGCCAGAGGATTGGAAAAGATCAGTTTACATCCCAATCCCAAAGAAGAGCAGTGCCAAAGAATGCTCCAACTACCGTACAATTGCACTCATTTCACACGCTAGCAAGGTTATGCTCAAAATCCTACAAGGTAGGCTTCAGCAGTATGTGGACCGAGAACTCCCAGAAGTACAAGCTGGATTTTGAAGAGGCAGAGGAACTAGAGACCAAATTGCTAACATGCACTGGATTATGGAGAAAGCCAGAGAGTTCCAGAAAAAAATCTACTTTTGCTCCATTGACAATAAAAAAATCCTTTGACTGTGTGGACCACAGCAAACTATGGCAAGTCTTTAAAAAATGGGAGTGCCTGACCACCTTGTCTGTCTCCTGAGAAATCTATGTGTGGGACAGGAGGCAACAGTTAGAACTGGATATAGAACAACTGATTGGTTCAAAATTGGGAAAGGAGTATGACAAGGCTGTATATTGTCCCCCTACTTATTTAACTTATATACAGAATACATTGTGCGCAAGGCTGGACTGGACGAATCCCAAACTCGAATTAAGATTGCTGGAAGAAATATCAACAACCTCGGATATGCAGATGATACCACTCTGATGGCAGAAAGTGAGGAGGAATTAAAGAACCTCTTAATGAGGGTGAAAGAGGAGAGTGCAAAAAACGATCTGAAACTCATCAAAATATGGAGGCAGTGACAGATTTTACTTTCTTGGGCTCCATGATCACTGCAGATCATGGCAGCAGCCACGAAATTAAAAGATGCCTGGTTCATGGGAAGAAAGTGTGTGAGGGCAAGAGGAGAAGGGGATGACAGAGGATGAGATGGTTGGACAGTGTCATCGAAGCTACCCACATGAATTTGACCAAACTCCAGGAGGAAGTGGAAGACAGGAGGGCCTGGCGTGCTCTGGTCCATGGGTTCACGGAGAGTCGGAAACGACTTGACAACTAAGCAACAACACAGCCAGGTACAGTGGTGCCCCGCATAGTGAGGTTAATCCGTTCCGGATTAACCCTCGCTATGGGAAACATCGTTCAACGAAACGAAAAAAACCCATTGAAACGCATTAAACTTGGTTTAATGCGTACCAATGGGCCCCGAAACTCACCGTTGAGCAATGCTTCCCTATGGCTGACAGCCATTTTTGCGCCCTCCCCTCGCTTAGCGAGGGCGCGAAAACGCTGCGCGTGGCCATTTCCAGGCTTCTGGCGGCCATTTTGGAGCCGCCAAACAGCTGATCCGCGGGTCGCAAAGCGAAGGTCGGTAAGTGAACCGCTTACCGACCTTCGCTATGCGATTTTCGGCCATAGAGGCCATCGCTTTGCGATCGCATTAGCGATCACGAAAACGTCCTCGCTATGCGGATTCGTCGTTCTACGGTGTGCTCGCTAAGCGAGGCACCACTGTACTGTGAAGTTCAGCTCCATAAGCATGAATAATTAGAATTACTTTTTAACAGATGTTGAGACAGCAAGGATTATTGCACTCTTTACTGTGGGGATGCCTAGACTATGGACTAATCTTCTTGGGGAGATCTGCCCCATTCTTTCTCTAATTCACTAAAGCCAGTAATGAACCCCTCCCTCCCTCCCTCCCTCCCTATTCCAGCAGGTTTTAACTTCTAACTGTGGTGCTACCGTAAATTGGTGCTGCTACTCGAGGTTTGCTTTCACACTGTTCCCCCTCCCCTGCAGTTTTAACATTTACATTTAACATATCAGCCATATATCAATTTCCAAGCTTCTTCCAACTGATCGTAGACAGGAAAGGAAGCGTAAGGAATGGCTCCGTCAAATGATCAACAAAACAGAGATACATCTACCTGTACATCACACTGTTCTGCCTCTCTCAGGAGGGATGTGCGGCCTTTCCAGAGGTGGTTGGCCATCAGCTCCCACTAACTCTAGCCAGCATATCCGGCGTTAATTATTACGGAACCTATAATCCAACCACCACTGGAGAGCTGCCGGTTCAGCTCCAACCGATCCACGGCAAAGCCCTGAAACTTCTCTATTCCTTCCTCATCTGCCACACTCACGGTTTGCGCAGGATGGTGGTGAGCAAGGCCATAGGGCCCAGCTGGGTGAGCAACGCCAGGGCCTCCAGCAGCTCCTCACCATCTCGGTCTTCTGTCTGAGGATCCAGGGCAACGAAGCGGAAGAACTGGGCCTCTCGATCTTGGAAATAGGTCTCTTGTCGAGCTGCGTGGAGAAGAGAGGAGGGAATCCCAAGATGTGATTAAGAGGGCAAAGTGGAAAACTTTATTCGACATTTTTTTGTCCTCACCATGACAGTGTTTCTCCAGTTGTGTTACATTCCTCTTGTTCCCTGCAAGGCATTTTGGGCTCCTCCTGCCGTTGGCTAGCAACAACAGTCCTATGGCCTAGCCCTTTGCTATCGAGATGGCTGCCTAGTCCAGGAAGGAGAAAGCTATCTCAATAGCATGGTTGTTAAGTATGACAAACCAGGATAATGACTGCCTAGCCAAACACAGGAGGCACTTAAAACGTCTTCCAGCAGAGAAAAGACTCCATTTGGAAAAAGAATGGAAGAAATCTAGAAAGGGATGCAGATATCGAGTGATGTGTCTGCTCAAAAAGCCCATGTTCTTCACACTGGTACTGAAGGGCCCATGGCTACAGATCAAAAACAAACTTAATACGTGGAGAGGGGGAGAAAGAGTGCAGATAGAATGGACTGAACGCAAGCTGGTCAGATGGCTCAGTTCCTTGCTTGTAAAAACATAAACAGACATAACCTACCTATTGGGACCCATGCAAGATCACTCTAGGCAGAGTCAGCAAGACTGGTGGCCAGCATTTGTGTCTCACTCAGCCTCCACTGGGAGACACTGTTTATGACATCATCATCAGCAGGGTAAGCATCCCTTTGTGACCTGCAGCTGGGACACTTAGCAAGCCATGGATATCCTCCTAAACAAGGCAAGTCCCGCCACCACCCCCCATTTCCCATTTCTCTTTCATGTCCATTCACGGTAAATCCTGCGTTTCTTCCATGGGAAACAAGCTGGCATGTTGATGAACCCTCAGGTGAGCTCCTATCCAGGTACTGTTTGGACCCAGATATACTTAATATCAGCCAGATAGCTGTAGCATGCCTGCTAAGATGTGCAATATATGTGTGCATACACATTCAAATGCACCTGAAGATAGGCATCTATGCCATACACTTTCCTCCAATGAGCTCAGAGGTACATATGTGAATTTGACTCTCCACAGTTTCTCCCCACAACAACCCAGGGAGGCAAGCCAGGCTGAGACAGACAGAGAGGACTGGCCTGAGGTTATCCAACGAGTTTCACAGCTCAGTGGAGGCTACATCCTGGGTTTCCCCAAGTCCCAGTCCAACACCCTCGCTACTAGGCTGCACCACCTCTTGCATCCTGCCATATATGTTGTCGTCTTACCATGAACGAGGACCCCTTCATCCATTAGCACTTGACAAAGCCCAAGGGCCTGGCTGCGGGTCTGCACAGAAAGTCCTGCATTAAGCAGCGCATCCACCAGCTCCTTCCCAGAACAGCACTGCCTGCAGGGGGGGCATGAAAAAACAGCACAGAATTCACACGGAAGCCCCCAAGATCTGGGGAATCAAGTAAGTACATTCCGAAGCCCAGAATGAGGTGAAAGTGGAGCAGTGCTTTTGGGGAGATCTCCAAAAAGCAATACCTTACATATAAATTAATAAATCACTGGATTATGATGCTACAAAATAGGCTGATGCTTACCAATGTTTATGGTTTTAATGGTCGATGATCAGAAACAGCTTGCCTTTAAATATGAGCAGTTCAGGAGTTATGGGGGTGAGGGGGGATAGCGCCTTCAAACTCTGTTAGACCCACATCTGACACCAAGGGGTGAACAACCTCCAGACTTCAGTGGACCACCCAAACTGACTCCTTGAGCTGGGAGGGCCACTTCCACACACGACCTGTTTCAGAATACTGTACCTTTTTTAAAAAATACACCCTTTTTAAGAAGTCTCTATCATGCCCTCAAGTGGCCAAAATATTTTCTTTAAAAAGCACAACAACATGAAAGGGATATTTGAGGGGGGATTGCTAGGGACCCAAAGCAAGGCATAATTGCTTCCTATGCCTCCTTGAGAGTATATAAGACGACTTTTTAGGTTTTATTTTTAAATTAAGTCATGGATTTGACTGCTGGGCCCTGGGGGCACTGATAGTCACAACTGAGCCCCTGGAGGACACATGTGGCACACAGACCATACTTTGCTGCCCATGAGCTAGACTAATATGGTCTCTGAACCAACTGGGTATCATAAGATCATGGAAAGCTGCCTGATACCAAACCGCACCACTTCCTTGTCCATCAAGAAGGCATACAGACAGGGACATGAAAATGAGACTCCTCAGCATCGACTTCCAGACGCTGGGATTCCTTTCCAAATGAGGCTACGCTGGCCCCATCCGGATAGTTCTTGAGACGGCAGACAAAGTAGTTTTCAACCTGGCATACTTTCAGCAACTGTTGAGTTTAAGGAAAGAGGTTTTCATAGACTTCTGCTGTGCGATTGTTCATTTTTTAAATTGATGTTTTCCAGTTGTTCTTAATTCAGTGGTGTTTTGTTGCTATAAATAATTTATTTGCAGTAGAACGTAATAATCTTCTCTATGTTTTTATTTGTACTTGGTCATTATCTCTATTGGTTTTAATTTTGTTGTGTGCAGCCTTGGGTCCCAGTCTGAGAGAAAGGCATGACATCATTCAAATAAAGAGTTAAATAAATAGCACAGTGTTCTCTAGTGTTAGCCTCTGTCA